AAACACCAGGAGCCTTCAAGATTCTACAAACTATATCAAAAGCATAGCAGCCCTCAAGATTCTTTAAAACTTCCCCAAAAATAACACACCAGGGGCCCCCAAGATTCTTTAAAACTATATCAGAAACATCACACCATGTGCCTCAGAGATTCTTCAAAACTTCTTCAAAAATATAACACTAGGTGCCCCCGAGATTCTTTAAAACTTCTTCAAAAACATAACATCAGGTGCCCCAGAGATTTTTTAAAAGTTCTTCAAAAATATAACACTAGGTGCCCCCGAGATTGTTTAAAATATCTCCAAAAATAAAACACCAGGTAATCCCGAGTTTCTTTAAAACTTCTTCAAAAGTATAACACTAGGTGCCCCCGAGATTCTTTAAAACTTCTTCAAATACACAACACCAGGAGCCTTCAAGATTCTGCAAAACTATATCAAAAACATAACACCAGGTGCCCCCGAGATTCTTTAGAACTTCTTCAAAAACACAACACCAGGAGCCTTCAAGATTCTGCAAAACTATATCAAAAACATAACACCAGGTGCCCCCAAGATTCTTTAAAACTTCTCCAAAAATAAAACACCAGAGACCCCCAAGATTCTTTAAAACTATATCAAAAACATAACACAACTCTTTAAACCTTATTCATAAACGAAACGTAAGGAGCCCTCAAGATTCTCTAAAAGTACCTATATCAAAAACGTAACACCAGGGGTCCTCAAGATTTTTTAATGCTTCTGCAAAAGCAAAACACTAGGAATCCCCAAAGATTCTTGAAAACCATTTCAAAACCATAACACCAGAGTCCCTGAAATTCTTTGAAACTTCTCCAAAAAAAAAATACCAGAAGTCTTCAAGATTCATGGAAACCATTTCAAGACTTTAACACCAGAGCCTCCGAGATTCTTCAAAACTTCAAATACAAAACACCAGGTACTCCCAAGATTCTTTAAAACTTCTTCAAAAAGAAAACACCAGGAACTCTTAAGATTCTTTGAAATTTCTTCAAAAATAAAACACCAGGAGCCCCCAAGATTCTTTAAAACTATATATCTAAAACGTAACACCAGTTGCTGCCCAGCTTTTTTAAAACTTCTTCAAAAACATAACACCAGGTGCCCCCGAGATTCTTTAAAACTTCTTCAAATACACAACACCAGGAGCCTTCAAGATTCTGCAAAACTATATCAAAAACATAACACCAGGTGCCCCCGAGATTCTTTAGAACTTCTTCAAAAACACAACACCAGGAGCCTTCAAGATTCTGCAAAACTATATCAAAAACATAACACCAGGTGCCCCCAAGATTCTTTAAAACTTCTCCAAAAATAAAACACCAGAGACCCCCAAGATTCTTTAAAACTATATCAAAAACATAACACAACTCTTTAAACCTTATTCATAAACAAAACGTAAGGAGCCCTCAAGATTCTCTAAAAGTACCTATATCAAAAACGTAACACCAGGGGTCCTCAAGATTTTTTAATGCTTCTGCAAAAGCAAAACACTAGGAATCCCCAAAGATTCTTGAAAACCATTTCAAAACCATAACACCAGAGTCCCTGAAATTCTTTGGAAGTTCTCCAAAAAAAAATACCAGAAGTCTTCAAGATTCAGGGAAACCATTTCAAGACTTTAACACCAGAGCCCCCGAGATTCTTCAAAACTTCTCCAAAAAAAAACACACAAGGAGCCCTCAAGATTCTTCAAAACTTCTCCAAAAATGAAACATTAGGAACCTTCAAAATTCTTGAAAACCATTTCAAGACCATAACACCAGAGCCCCCGAGATTCTTCAAACTTCTCCAAAAAAACACACAAGGAGCCCTCAAGATTCTTCAAAACTTCTCCAAAAATGAAACATTAGGAACCTTCAAAATTCTTGAAAACCATTTCAAAACCATAACACCAGAGCCCCGAGATTCTTCAAACTTCTCCAAAAAAAAAACAAAAGTCCTCAAGATTCATGAAAACCATTTCAAGACCATAACACCAGAACCCCCGAGATTCTTCAAAACTTCTCCAAAAGAAAAAAACACCAGGAGCCCTCAGATTCTTCAAAACTTCTCCAAAAATGAAACATTAGGAATCCTCAAGATTCGTGTAAACCATTTCAAAACCATAACACCAGGTCGCCCGAGATTCCTTAAAACTTCTCCAAAAAAACACCAAGAGCCTAAGGATTCTTTAAAACTTCTCCAAAAATGAAACACTAGGAACCCCCAAGATTCTTGAAAACCATTTCAAAACCATAATACCAGAGCCCCTGAAATTCTTTGAAACTTCTCAAAAAAAAAACAGAAGTCCTCAAGATTCATGAAAACCATTTCAAGACCATAACACCAGAGCCCCCGAAATTCTTTGAAACTTCTCCAAAAAAAGTCCCCAAGATTCATGAAAACCATTTCAAGACCATAACACCAGAACCCCCGAGATTCTTCAAAACTTCTCCAAAAGAAAAAAACACCAGGAGCCCTAAAGATTCTTCAAAACTTCTCCAAAAATGAAACATTAGGAACCCTCAAGATTCGTGTAAACCATTTCAAAACCATAACACTAAGCCTCCCGAGATTCCTTAAAACTTCTCCAAAAAAACACCAAGAGCCTAAGGATTCTTTAAAACTTCTCCAAAAATGAAACACTAGGAACCCCCAAGTTTCTTGAAAACCATTTCAAAACCATAACACCAGAGCCCCTGAAATTCTTTGAAACTTCTCCAAAAAAAAAGAAGTCCTCAAGATTCATGAAAACCATTTCAAGACCATAACACCAGAACCCCCGAGATTCTTCAAAATTTCTCCAAAAGAAAAAAACACCAGGAGCCCTCAAGATTCTTCAAAACTTCTCCAAAAATGAAACATTAGGAATCCTCAAGATTCGTGTAAACCATTTCAAAACCATAACAGCAGAGCCCCCGAGATTCCTTAAAACTTCTCCAAAAAAACACCAAGAGCCTAAGGATTCTTTAAAACTTCTCCAAAAATTAAACACTAGGAACCCCCAAGTTTCTTGAAAACCATTTCAAAACCATAACACCAGAGCCCCTGAAATTCTTTGAAACTTCTCCAAAAAAAAACAGAAGTCCTCAAGATTCATGAAAACTATTTCAAGACCATAACACCGGAACCCCCGAGATTCTTCAAAACTTCTCCAAAAATGAAACATTAGGAACCCTCAAGATTCGTGTAAACCATTTCAAAACCATAACACCAGGGCCCCCGAGATTATTTAAAACTTCTCCAAAAAAAAACACCAAGAGCCCTCAGGATTCTTTAAAACTTCTCCAAAAATTAAACACTAGGAAGCCTCCAGACTTTTTTAAACTACATCAAAAACGTAACACCAGGTGTCCTCAAGATTTTTTAACTTCTCCAAAATCAAACCACTAGGAACCCCCAAGATTCTTGAAAACCATTTCGAAACCATAACACCAGGTGCCCCCAAAATTTTTTGAAACTTCTCCAGAAAACTCCAGAAGTCCTCAAGATTCAAAAATGAAACATTTGGAACCGTCTAGTTTCTTGAAAACCTTTTGAAAACCATAACACCAGGGCCCCCGAGATTCTTTAACACTTCTCCAAAAAAAAAAAAAAAACAAACACCAGGAGGCCTCAGGATTCTTTAAAACTACATCAAAACCATAATTGTTTTTTTTTATTTTCAAAAATGAAACACTGAGTTCAAGAGATTTTTGAAAAGATTTCTAAAAATCAAACACTAGGCCCCTCCAAGATTCTTTAAAATACTTTCAAATATAAAACATTAGGGCCCTCTCAAGATTATTTTAATTCTTCCTCTACCTATAGAACTGGAAATTTGGTTAAATTCAGTAGATTTTAAGTTAATATCTAAGATGTCGTAGGTCAGTTTCATAGTTCTAATTCCAATGCTAAATATTCAAAATTGTATATGTATATACACTATACCGGATGTCAAGAAAATGGCGGATTAAATCTCCGCTACGCTTTTAACAATCAACTGGTGAGTCTGGGAAAAATAGTAAAAAAATTCCTTCTCACATTTTGGTGGAGTTACAATAATTTTAAAATTGTTTTTTTTTGCTAAGTTTAACAACTAATTGTCAAAATCAGTCTTATTTTATCAGGTATTAGCCCCGCCCACCCACCCTCTCTTTTCTTAGAGGATATGTTATATGCCAAAATCAGTTTTATCTGAACATCTTTTCTTTTGTTGGTTTTGTTTTTGTTTATGATTTGTAAATGTCTTATTAAATGTTTTTTTTTTTTTGGTTTATTTATTAATGAAAAATAACAGCTCTATCCCGAAGAGTTAATCCGTCATTTTCCAGACACCCGGTATATATATTTATTTTTTAAATCATCATATTAAAAATTAGTTAGTTTACATTCCGTGTTTGTATCGCAAGTACAATAAAAATACTAGAACCCAAAGGACTTCTTTTAAGTGAAAGTGAAAGATTTATACCGGGTAACTATTATAATTGAAGCAAATTTTTGTGTTGGTAGATCTGAATTATTGCCAGCCATGCTAATATGTCAGTCCACAGTTGTCAATTTTCACATTGCACTCCTAGTAAACTTGTTGATCGAAACGGTGGCAGCTACTGACTTGTCACTTTGATAATCAGGATGCCATCATAAATTTTGAAGATGTTGCCAACCTGACAAAAACTTCGCAAACATTAGTGGACACTCGATACAATCAAATGTCTGGGAAAATCAGATATTTTTTTTTTTAAATGAATCCAGAAATCGCTACCAGATCTCTCCTGTAACTAAGATTCTTCTATAAATACTTATTAAAACTTGTCAAAATAACAATTGCGGAGAATGAAGCCAATTTGTTATTATTTTTGTTAAACAATCGGTTTGTCGTAGCACCCAATGCACCAAAGCGCACTCCATTCCGCCCACCGCCCGTCCGTGGGTGTGTACCCACCAAAAAAATCCACTCCCAACATTTCGCACCTAATGATTAATTCATAAGCACGGGCGCTAAAAGCCACTCTTTGTTTCAGAAACAAGTAGACGATGTAAATAACGACGAGGTAGAAGTGGACATAGACGAACTTCTAGATATGGACAACGATGACGAGAGAAGGAGGCATTTACAGGTAAGACGATACCATTTTTTCAGTTCGCCACCTCTACTATTATAAGCTATTTCGATATTGGAAATGTCAAGGATGCGTGTTTCGTACGTTTAATCAATCAATTTACAATTGATCGGGTTCCACTCATAAACAAATCCCGCATGGCCACACTGCATTATTTATTGTGGAGTCCTCATGGGGTCCGAGTCGGAGGAGGTATTAAATATCCTGCCAGAAGCTAGAATGTACACTTGGTTCCCGCTGGGCGTCGACCTCTTATTGCTTCTCTCGTTATTATTGTACGCTGGGACGCGTCGTAAAGAAAATACTATTTTCGCTTTCTTTTTTCTTTGGGGGTTTTAGTTAAGGGGTTTAGGTGTGCTACGAGACTCCAATGAGTGGAAAAGTTTGTCGGGTTTTTTTAACACCAAAAGAGCCACAAATAAGATAAAAATAATCATTTTCCACGAAGTCGGTGTTTCATACACTGCAACAACAACAAATAAATAAAAACAAAAACAAACTTATCGGGAACATTAATTGCCGCAACGAAATAGAGTCATAGACATTCCCGGTACGAAAAATTAATCAGTAGACGCGATAAAGAGGACTATCGCGTTTTGATTGTTGTAAATGTCAACATTGTTAGCAAAACTAATATTTGTTTATTTCAACCTTCACGACCTAATCCTGGGACCGTAATGGCGGCTTAAAAACACATTGTCTTTTTGCGTTTTGTAATCCAGATATATCCTTCTGTTCCAGAATCTCCTGATAAATGCCAAAGGGTCCCAAAGTGATGTAAAAGTGAGTATCTCCCAGTGCGTTTTTACGTCTAACTAAAATTTACTAATTGTTGCAGAAATTCATCAATGATCTGTTAGATAAAGCAAAGACTCTTTAAATAAAGTGAAGTGCCAAGTAGGTTCAGTGAAGACTTCGGCCCTATGGCGCCCTGTTTGCACAAGTTTTAGTGATTATAATTATTGCATCATCGATGTTGATCGTTCGAAACTGTATTCCATCCTATCTATCAGGAAGGTCGGCGTTTCGAGACAGTTTGGACCGATTTCGTTACGTTGTAATAGACACACAGTCTTGTCGTTAGCCGTGGCCAGTTTTGCCAGTTGTTAATTGAAAAATAATATTGAGAAAAACTCTAAATCTTTTTCTAATTTTTTATATTTTTAGCGCTAATTTTATTGTAATGAAACACTGTGTAAAGCGCGTGTAGCTAGTCCTGACGTAGAGTACGACGTGTTGTTTAGATCATATCAGACTGCCTCCGTTATGGGATTATTAATATCGTGGCTTTTCTAGCTCCTTATCGTTGGGTTTCATATCGACAGTGCTCAAAATTTTTGTAACATGTGATGATGAATGTGAGCTTCCTCGAAATTATTCAACCTATCGTCTTATTGGCCTCACTTCGTTTCGTTGGAATTATTTAGAATAATGATCGTTTGGTGTACTTATAGGATATTTATCTGTAAACTGCAGTTGATCTTTGTGATCTCAGCCCTCTCAAATCTGACATGTGTATCATAGGATGTATGTAGGAAGTTTAGTAGTTGTAAGACATTTTATGAAATAAATAGTTTCGATTCGACATCTTTATATTTATTTTATACCCTTAATACAATTGTGCTTAATAGCTAATTGTCCTTAAATAATGATAGAAATTGAACAAAAGTACAACAGAAGCTGAATCAGGTAAGTAAGACAGCAAACAAAACGAAAAATCTGCATTTAGTGTGCTTCAGAGACAAGGAAGGTTTGGTAAAAATAACGGATTTTTATTAGACAGATAATCTCCGAAGGTACTGAGCCGATTGTTATCAAAAAATTTGTCTAATCAATTGAAAGAAGACTTGTATATGTGACAATAATACTGTCAACAATTAACAGTGTTAACAGTAGTCACCAGAATGAAAAGGCGGTGGGTGGGCGGTCCTACTGGTTACCTATAAAAGACTCTCTAAGAATAAGTTAAACTTAGCCCCGCCCTCCCACCCGTTTTCTCATTGTTTTTCTTCCGATATAAGAAATAAATCTTATAACAAATAGTACAACAACAAAGTTACGATTGGCACTTTTTTTACAGCCTGATTTCTATCAGTTACCTATATGGATTTTGCAGTTAAACTCCGCCTCTCTATCTGACAACGAATAAAATATTCATCACAATTGAGTCAGGGGCGGGTGGGTGGGGCTTTTTTTTCTTAATGTATACCTATTTTCAACAACACAATATTTAAAACATAATTCTAGCCTCAAATTCACCATTTAATATTTTAAGTATTTTTTTATTGTTGAAAGAAGTCTATGTATATATGCACTCAGAAAATCAAAAGATAAGCCCCCACCCACCCGCCCCATCTCAATTGTGAAAGAAAGTTTGAGGCGTCCAAATTGTACTTCTGGAGCGAGGGAAGTTCTGTCGACACAACTTTCGACCATTTTTTTTTTATTTCTATACGTAGAGAACGCATGACGTCGTCAATTTCTTGGAGGAATATACAGTTGACCAGGAGATCCATTTTTTTTATGTTGATAGGAAATATTAAACGCAAGAACAGAATAAAAAGTAAAACAGAATAAACAGTTCAAGTTTTTTCGTATCATTTTTTTAAACACCCCCATTAATTTTTAAATATATTCTACTTCATTTAAAAATATATAAAATTCCCTATTTAAAGATGGCCGAATCAGCCAGTGTACGTGATGTCTCGCCATTAAAGTAATTTGAAAGAATTTCAGGGATCTTTCTGCGTAATGTTTTTGAATCATTTTCAAAGAATCTCGGGGATCCCTGGTGTTTGGTTTTTGAAGATGTTTGAAAAAATCTCGAACACCTTGTGTTTGATTTTTGAAGAGGTTGGAAAGAATCTCGGGGACCTCTAGTGTTTGGTTTTTGAAGAAGTTTTGAAAGCATCTCGGGGACCCCTAGCGTTTGATTTTTGAAGAGAGAACCATTTGAATACAAGTGGAAAAAATTCGAAAGAATGTGAGAGATCCAAAAGAAAAAATTTTTCAAAAAAGGAAAGAACGTGAAAACACACACCTGAAAGAATCTGGAAGAATCTGAAGGAATCCAAGAAAATCTGAGGGAATATGAAACTAAGAATCAGAAAGAATTAGAAAGAATCAGAGGGAATAGGAAAGAATCTCAGGGAATCTAGACGAATCTAGGTAAACCTGGAAGAATTAGAGAGAATCTAGTAAAATCTACAAAAAGTGGAAGAAATTGGTTTTCGAACAAGTTTTGAAAGAATCTGGGGGACCCCTATTCTTTGGTTTTTATGAAGAGGTTTGAAAGAATCTCGGGATCCCTTGTTTGTTTTTTGAAGAAGTTTTGAAAGAATCTCGGGGACCCCGAGTGGTTGGTATTTGAAGAGGTTTTGAAAGAATCTCGGGGATCCCTTGTTTGGTTTTTGAAGAAGTTTTGAAAGAATCTCAGAGACCCCTGGCTTTTGTTTCTGAAGAAGTTTGAAAGAATCTCTGAGAGTCCTAGTGTTTGGTTTTTGAAGAAGTTGAAAGAATCTCGGGGACTCCTAGTGTTTGGTTTTTGAAGAGGTTCTGAAAGAATCTCGGGGATCCATTGTGAAGAGGTTTGAAAGAATCTCGGGACCCCTTGTTTGGTTTTTGAAGAAGTTTTGAAAGAATCTTGGGGATTCCAAGTGTTTGGTTTTTGAAGAAGTTTGAAAGAATCTCGGGGATCTCTCCTGTTTGGTTTTTGAAGAAGTTTTGAAAGAATCACGGGCACCCCTGTCTTTTGTTTTTGAAGAAGTTTGAAAGAATCTCGGGGATCCCGAGTGGTTGGTATTTGAAGAGGTTTTGAAAGAATCTCGGGGATCCCTTGTTTGGTTTTTGAAGAAGTTTTGAAAGAATCTCAGAGACCCCTGGCTTTTGTTTTTGAAGAAGTTTGAAAGAATCTCTGAGAGTCCTAGTGTTTGGTTTTTGAAGAAGTTGAAAGAATCTCGGGGACTCCTAGTGTTTGGTTTTTGAAGAGTTTCTGAAAGAATCTCGGGGATCCATTGTGAAGAGGTTTGAAAGAATCTCGGGACCCCTTGTTTGGTTTTTGAAGAAGTTTTGAAATCATTTTGGGGATTCCAAGTGTTTGGTTTTTGAAGAAGTTTGAAAGAATCTCGGGAATCTCTCCTGTTTGGTTTTTAAAGAAGTTTTGAAAGAATCACGGGCACCCCTGTCTTTTGTTTTTGAAGAAGTTTGAAAGAATCTCGGGGATCCCGAGTGGTTGGTATTTGAAGAGGTTTTGAAAGAATCTCGGGGATCCCTTGTTTGGTTTTTGAAGAAGTTTTGAAAGAATCTCAGAGACCCCTGGCTTTTGTTTTTGAAGAAGTTTGAAAGAATCTCTGAGAGTCCTAGTGTTTGGTTTTTGAAGAAGTTGAAAGAATCTCGGGAACTCCTAGTGTTTGGTTTTTGAAGAGGTTCTGAAAGAATCTCGGGGATCCATTGTGAAGAGGTTTGAAAGAATCTCGGGACCCCTTGTTTGGTTTTTGAAGAAGTTTAAAAGAATCTCGGGGATCTCTCCTGTTTGGTTTTTGAAGAAGTTTTGAAAGAATCACGGACACCCCTGTCTTTTGTTTTTGAAGAAGTTTAAAGGAATCTCGGGGATCCCTTGTTTGGTTTTTGAAGAAATTTTGAAAGAATCTCAGAGACCCCTGGCTTTTGTTTTTGAAGAAGTTTGAAAGAATCTCTGAGAGTCCTAGTGTTTGGTTTTTGAAGAAGTTGAAAGAATCTCGGGGACTCCTAGTGTTTGGTTTTTGAAGAGTTTCTGAAAGAATCTCGGGGATCCATTGTGAAGAGGTTTGAAAGAATCTCGGGACCCCTTGTTTGGTTTTTGAAGAAGTTTTGAAATCATTTTGGGGATTCCAAGTGTTTGGTTTTTGAAGAAGTTTGAAAGAATCTCGGGGATCTCTCCTGTTTGGTTTTTGAAGAAGTTTTGAAAGAATCACGGGCACCCCTGTCTTTTGTTTTTGAAAAAGTTTTGAAGGAATCTCGGGGACCCCGAGTGGTTGGTATTTGAAGAGGTTTTGAAAGAATCTCGGGGATCCCTTGTTTGGTTTTTGAAGAAATTTTGAAAGAATCTTAGAGACCCCTAGCTTTTGTTTTTGAAGAAGTTTGAAAGAATCTCTGAGAGTCCTAGTGTTTGGTTTTTGAAGAAGTTGAAAGAATCTCGGGAACTCCTAGTGTTTGGTTTTTGAAGAGGTTTTGAAAGAATCTCGGGGATCCATTGTGAAGAGGTTTGAAAGAATCTCGGGACCCCTTGTTTGGTTTTTGAAGAAGTTTAAAAGAATCTCGGGGATCTCTCCTGTTTGGTTTTTGAAGAAGTTTTGAAAGAATCACGGACACGCCTGTCTTTTGTTTTTGAAGAAGTTTAAAGGAATCTCGGGGATCCCTTGTTTGGTTTTTGAAGAAATTTTGAAACAATCTCAGAGACCCCTGGCTTTTGTTTTTGAAGAAGTTTGAAAGAATCTCTGAGAGTCCTAGTGTTTGGTTTTTGAAGAAGTTGAAAGAATCTCGGGGACTCCTAGTGTTTGGTTTTTGAAGAGGTTCTGAAAGAATCTCGGGGATCCATTGTGAAGAGGTTTGAAAGAATCTCGGGACCCCTTGTTTGGTTTTTGAAGAAGTTTTGAAAGAATCTTGGGGATTCCAAGTGTTTAGTTTTTGAAGAAGTTTGAAAGAATCTCGGGGATCTCTCCTGTTTGGTTTTTGAAGAAGTTTTGAAAGAATCACGGGCACCCCTGTCTTTTGTTTTTGAAGAAGTTTGAAAGAATCTCGGGGATTCCTAGTGTTTGGTTTTTGAAGAGGTTTGAAAGAATCTCGGGGATGCCTTCTGTTTGGTTTTTGAAGAAGTTTTGAAAGAATCCCGGGGATCCCTTGTGTTTGGTTTGTGAAAAGGTTTGAAAGAATCTCGGGGACTCCTAGTGTTAAATTTTTGAAGAGGTTTGAAAGAATCTCGGGACCCCTTGTTTGGTTTTTGAAGAAGTTTTGAAAGAATCTTGGGGATTCCTAGTGTTTGGTTTTTGAAGAGGTTTGAAAGAATCTCGGAATCCCTTGTTTGGTTTTTGAAGAAGTTTTGAAAGAATCTCAGGGACCCCTGGCTTTTGTTTTTGAAGAAGTTTTAAAAAATCTCGGGGAGCCCTAGTCTTTGGTTTTTGAAGAAGTTGAAAGAATCTCGGGGATTCCTAGTGTTTGGTTTTTGTAGAGGTTTTGAAAGAATCTCGGGGATCCATTGTGAAGAGGTTTGAAAGAATCTCGGGATCCTCTGTTTGGTTTTTGAAGAAGTTTTGAAAGAATCTTGGGGATTCCTAGTGTTTGGTTTCTGAAGAGGTTTGAAAGAATCTCGGAATCCCTTGTTTGGTTTTTGAAGAAGTTTTGAAAGAATCTCAGGGACCCCTGGCTTTTGTTTTTGAAGAAGTTTGAAAGAATCTCCGAGAGTCCTAGTGTTTGGTTTGTGAAAAGGTTTGAAAGAATCTCGGGGACTTCTACTGTACGGTTTATGAAGAGGTTTGAAACAGGGGTCAAATTATTATTTTTATTATTTCGAACCGATACTTTTTTCGGCAACTTTTTTTTTTCTAATAGTTTAAAAATAACCGTGCAAAATTATTGTTATTCTTATCTTGGTACATGGATATTAGCTGTTTCGAAAAATTCAGAAGAATCTAGAAAAAACAAAAAGAATCTGAAACGATATGAAAGGTGAAAAATTCTGACAGGATCTGAGAGTATCAAAAAAATGTCAAAGAATTTGAGAGAATTTAAGATTTTGTCAAATTCTTTGGATTCTTTCTGATTTTCTCTTTCGGATTTTTGAGCTTTTCAGATTCTTTCAAAGACACTATCAGCAATCCTCCATCCAGAAATTTTTGAGTTCTGTTCAGATTTTTTTAGATAGTTACAAATCCTTTCAGATTTCTGCAGACTCTTCCAGATTTTCTCACATTCTCTGAACGAATCTGAGGGAATCTCGAAAAATCTAGAAGAATCTAAAAAAAACTAGAAGAATCTGCAGGGATCTGAAGGGGTTTGAAACGAATAAAAAAAATCGAAAAAATCTGAAAAAGAGAATCAAAAAGAAAATGAATAAATCTGAAAGCATTTGAAGGAATCCGGGGGAATTTGTGGGAATCCTAGAGAAATTCCGAGATCGGGAAGAATTTGGGAGATTCGGAAAGTATTTCAAGGAATCTGAGTTCACCTGTGGAAATGTGAGGGAATCTAGAAAAATCTGGAAGAACGGTTAGGTTCTAAAACGATTTGAATACAAGTGGAAAAAATTCGAAACAACGTGAAACATCCAAAAGCATCCGAAAGAATCCAAGGAAGAATCTTTCAAAAAAGGAAAGAACTTGAAAACACCTGAAAGAATCTGGAAGAATCTGAAGGAATCCAAGAAAATCTGAGGGAATATGAAACTAAGAATCAAAAAGAATAGGAAAGAATCTCAGGGAATCTAGACGAATCTACAAAAAGTGGAAGAAATTGGTTTTTGAACAAGTTTTGAAAGAATCTGGGGGACCCCTAGTGTTTGGATTTTGAAGAAGTTTTGAAAGAATATCGGGGACCTCTGTCTTTTGTTTTTGAAGAAGTTTGACAGAATCTCGGGGATCTCTTGTGTTTGGTTTTTGCAGAGGAAGTTTTGAAAGAATCTCAGGGACCTCTGTCTTTTGTTTTTGAAGAAGTTTGACAGAATCTCGGGGACTCCTATTGTTTGGTTTTTGAAGAGGTTTTGAAAGAATCTCGAGAATCCCTTGTGTTTTTGAAGAAGTTTCAAAGAATCTCGGAGACTCCAAGTGTTTGATTTTTGAAGAGGTTGGAAAGAATCTCGGGATCCCTTGTTTGGTTTTTGAAGAAGTTTTGAAAGATTCTCGGGAACCCCTAGTGTTTGGTTTTTGAAGAGGTTTTGAAAGAATCTTGAGGACTCCTAGTGTTTGGTATTTTAAGAGGTTTCGAAAGAATCTCGGGAACCCCTTGTGCTTTTGAAGAAGTTTGAAAGAATCTCGAGGACTCCTAGTGTTTGGTTTTTGAAAAGGTTTTGAAAGAATCTCGGGGACTCTTGTTGTTTGGTTTTTGAAGATGTTTTTAAAGAATCTCAGGGATCCCTTGTGTTCGGTTTTTGAAGAAGTTTTGAAAGAATCTCAGGGATCCCTTGTGTTTGGTTTTTGAAGAGGTTTTGAAAGAATCTCGGGGATCCCTTGTGTTTTAGAAGAACTTTGAAAGAATATCGGGGATTCCTAGTGTTTGGTTTTTGAAGAGATTTTGAAAGAATCTCGGGGATTCTTAGTGTTTGGTTTTTGAAGAGGCTTTGAAAGAATCTCGGGAATCCCTTGTGTTTTTGAAGAAGTTTGAAAGAATCTCGGGTACTCCTAGTGTTTGGTTTTTGAAGAGGTTTTGAAAGAATCTCGGGGACTCCTGTTGTTTGGTTTTTGAAGAGGTTTTTAAAGAATCTCAGAGATCCCTTGTGTTCGGTTTTTGAAGAAGTTTTGTAAGAATCTCGAGGAGCCCTAGTGTTTGGTTTGTGAAGAGGTTTAAAAGAATCTCGGAGATCCCAAGTGTTTGGTTTTTGAAGAGGTTTTGAAAGAATCTCGGGGAGCCCTTGTGTTTTAGAAGAAGTTTGAAAGAATCTCGGGGACCCCTAGTGTTTGGTTTTTGAAGAGGTTTTGAAAGAATCTCGGGGATTCTTAGTGTTTGGTTTTTGAAGAGGCTTTTGAAAGAATCTCGGGGACTCTTAGTGTTTGATTTTTGAAGAGGTTGGAAAGAATCTCGGGATCCTTTGTTTGGTTTTTGAAGAAGTTTTGAAAGATTCTCGGGAACCCCTAGTGTTTGGTTTTTGAAGAGGTTTTGAAAGAATCTTGAGGACTCCTAGTGTTTGGTATTTTAAGAAGTTTCGAAAGAATCTCGGGAATCCCTTGTGCTTTTGAAGAAGTTTGAAAGAATCTCGGGGACTCCTAGTGTTTAGTTTTTGAAGAGGTTTTGAAAGAATGTCGGGGACTCCTAGTGTTTGATTTTTGAAGAGGCTTTGAAAGAATCTCGGAGACTCTTAGTGTTTGATTTTTGAAGAGGTTGGAAAGAATCTCGGGATTCCTTGTTTGGTTTTTGAAGAAGTTTTAAAAGAATCTCGGGGACCCCTAGTGTTTGGTTTTTAAAGAGGTTTTGAAAGAATCGCGGGGACCCCTAGTGTTTGGTTTTTGAAGAGATCTGAAAGAATCTCGGGCAGCACTTGTGTTTAGTTTGCGAAGAGGTTTTAAACAATCTCGGGGACTCCTAGTGTTTGGTTTTTGAAGAGGTTTGAAAGAATCTCAGGGATCCCTTGTGTTTGGTTTTTGAAGAAGTTTGAAAAATCTCGGGTACGCCTTGTTTTGTTCTTGAAATAATTTAAAAGAATCTTGGGGACCCCTTTTATATGTTTTTTAAAAGTAGGTTGAAAGAATCTCGGGAATCCATTGTGTTTTTTTATTTTTGAAGTAGTTTGAATGAGTTTCGGTGTGAATCTCGAGGGTTCCTTATCTTGTTTTTGTTTTCACTAAACGATTTCTGAGAAAACTATCAATAACAAATGGAATCATTATTCATTTTTTAAAACATCCTGTGCAAATGGTGAAAAAACATCACAAAATCGCCGGAAAGGTCTCATTATAAGACGTGCCTTTAATAAACATTTATTTAATAATTTTCTGAGATAACATCATCGATTTCCTGGGGGACATAAACAAATAAAATTTGTTTAATGCTTTGCAATCACTAAACCAATATTAGGATCCGCAGTATTTGAGTTCTTAGTATAAAATATGAAACACTTTATTTTCTTAAGATATCCCGTACTGATAGTTGAAAATGGGTAGAATGTTAAACAACGTCTGCAACATTATGGTGCAACTGTCCAAGAGATAGATCAAGCAAAATTTTGAGGTGACGTCATCAGTTTTTGGAGGGAAATTAAAACGTTATACATATTTCCAAGCAATAAATAAAATCAAAGTGTAAACAAACCAAAATTCTCTTTTACTATTCAATTTCCTGGCTTTAATTCTTGTAAATATAAAATTATCAGAATCTAAAATAATATCTCTTATTTGACGTTTAAATGTAAAAATGTGGGTAGGCAACACGTGCTACGCATGTGTAATGCGGGTTATCTAACCATCACTCTTAAAATGGGATCTTAAAAAATAAACTAAAAAGAAATTAGTGCAAATACGAAGAACAAAGAAAGTGTAGTCGTTTGTAAAAGACTCGCTCACCTATTTTTGTTTTAATTAGTAAGAAATCCATACCATTTTAAATAATTTACGTCGCAAAATCACCTTGACACCTCCTTTGAAATTATCGCAACACATCTCATTTTGAAGTTCAGCATGACAATTCAAATTTCATCAAATACGGTTAATAACAATAGATAAATCGAATTTCACTTTCATCGTAGTCTTGTAAGTACCCCCAAATTCAAACCTCGCGCCTTTCCTCACTTCACTCCTCGCGCATGCGCACAGTCACAATCGTGCACCCCATCACCCTGTCATTCTCTCAACGCGAATATAAAAATCCCCCCGAAATCTCACCCCACAACCCGCCAATCGCCCGAATAAACCCACAATTCCATTAATCACATCTCTGCCTTATGGCACCAGTTGAAGATAACGACAGCGGCATGGAATCACAGGAAGGGTCACAAGCTCAGGACGGTCCCACCAGCAAGGACTACTCCCCCGAAAAGAAGCAGCTCGAACTCGAAATGGACTACGACGAAGAGGTAAACCCGCCTAACATCGCCACGAGCCAGAGGCATTCGTGTTACGAAACCCCACATAGCTGTACATAACCTCACTTCTAAACACGCAGGTTTTGTTTTTAGCCCGACGAGACGCTAGCGGAGCGACTGTGGGGGCTGACGGAGATGTTCCCGGAGTCGGTGCGCAACGCCTCACACACGGCCGCCGTGAGCACGCACTCCGGCGTCAAAAGTTTCTACCAGTTTTCACGGAGCGCTCTGTGGATAGTTTTTAGTACGTCGATTATTTTGTTCGCCCCCGTGATATTCGAGGTGGAGAGGGCGCAGATGGAGGAGATGCAGCGGAACCAACAGAAACAAGTTGGAAAACGTTTGGGGTTTGAGTTGGCTATGATTAATTTGTAACGTTGCAGATGCTGTTGGGGCCGAATTCGGCAGTTTCCGGTGGCGGGATGCCGCTGATGCCTCCGATGCAGCGATAATGCGGTGTAATTTAAATTGGAGAGTTTTAGGGTTTTTTTGTAACGTGTTATGTATACAAGCAATGATTGTAAAATTCCTGTTTAATATAATTACAGTCAGTTGCGCGTTGTTGCATTTTTAATGCTTGGAGTAGAGGGTGGTGGTTGGTGGAGTCACCAGTCGTAAATTTTAATGAATTTATTTAATAATTGTACGATTTTCGTACCAACATCGAGTTATATATACAGCCATGTTATTTAATTTATATATTAAAATAGTTAATTTATGTAATAATAAAGTCGTTGACATCTCATTGACAATTTTGAAGCTTTGCGCTGGTATTTACTTCAGTACGCTTATAGAATTAATACTGATTGTAAGAAATTTATTTTTTATCTTTTTAACGAATTTTATTACGAAATTTTGTACAATTTCCAGTAGCTGAAATAAATAGCAGCCGCAAAGGACACCACAAACGTTCGACAGTCTTTGTTGCAATCGATCACAATCAATTGCAAGAAATGGCTGAAATACAGTTAAACAAACGGAACAAAACTTTAATGCATGATAACAGAAACTTACACTGGGATTGTAGTACGAAATTTACAAATTCATATATAAATATACTTATTTACACATAGATTATGATAAATGTAATATGTACAGGGCGGCTTCCGTAACAACCATGTTGGCCTTTGATCAGTGAAGTTTGTAACTCGAGTCATTTCGTAGAAGCCGCCCGCAACCGAATCAACATGAGAAACTTATTACAAAAGTTGTCATCGAAGCAGATGAAAATCTAAACTGTCATCTATGGTTATTTGCAAATTCACCTATGTAACCCAACATGTATGTAGTAACAATGGTTTTTACACTAGGAAAACTAGTTTTAATTAAAAAAGAGAAGTTCTACTTTTTAAAAACACGAGATCACCTCTTAAATAATTTTGTACTTTTATTACATGTACAACGGTGCCAACGTCCAATCACTGGTCACAAACTCGCGAGTATTACAAATTAATTTATAATATTTACAAATGAGATTTTCGAGAGTGTTGATTAGAGTGATTGACGCTGCACGCGAACGCAAAAAAAAGAAATAACAATTTTCTAATTCCAGCTTAGCGATAGAAATTCAATTATATATATTATTTACAAAGTGTACATACTTCCATCATCATCATCTACAAAAATATATAAAAAACTATATTAGCAATGAAAAACGACAAAGTGAACCAAACAGCTAACTCAAAGCGCAAATAAGAATGAACCTCTTAAAAAAACTCTCTTAATCACTGGTCCTACAGATCGCTATTAACATATATTATTTTTTTAAAAAATAAATCTCCAAAAATAAAAACAACTATTTACACACTGTGCTTAATATTAATACTTGAATTAAATAAATATTTATGAATTGAAATTGCACACCCTCTTAAACTAATTAAAGCTCCTTCAGTTCACGTCTGCTGGCCAGGGTACTGCGACTCGCCCGTTCCCAAATCGGGCGGCGGCGAAGGGTTGCGGCCCTCGTATCTACCCTCCTCATCTACAAAAAACCCGAATTACTCCCTAGTACTTCACCCACCAACCTCAACCCACCCAAAACCGACGCATACGACGTGTCGTTGGGATAAACGGGATTGTTAAAAGGTGGCACATAGTCGACTGTTTCAATCTCCTCAAACCCACTTTGTGGATTCGCAGCTGCTCCTCGCTCCTCCTCGTCCGGCGTGTAAAACATGGTGGACTTAACGCCACCATCCTTCCCCTTTTCCTCGTTCTCCTCCTCCACCTCCGCTTGTTCCTGCTCTAAGGCCGGGGGGTAGTTGACAGGACTCCGCGCTGGATTAGAAGGTGCGGCTTCCACCACGGGCGACTTCGACGCGATGTTCACGTCGCAGCTACCCGGAATGGGAAAATTCGGACTCGGAGGGATTGTCTTGATCACCGGGGGAAGTTCGCAATTCAAAATTGCGTCAACGTCTAAAGCTAAACTAGAACTTACTTTTTGTAAACTAACAAGGTCGGGAACTTACCTGGTTTTCTGGCCTCTTCGTCCACGGCTATGCCTAGAACTTTCTTTAGCCTTAACGTGGTCATTTCTCGCTGGCGCTCGAGCTCGGTCGGTTCCGAGTTGAAGGCCGATGGAGCTGTCAACAAAGCACGAAAGTGAAGATCGCTCGCATGGTAAACATAACTAATAAACACGATAGTGGTACTAAGTGTGGATGAGTCATCGAGCGAAAGGATTTTGTAACGTCTACCTGCTTTAGAAAGTTTCGTACTCTGACGGTTAAGGGTAGATTTTTGTTAAAGTTAATCCGGTGAATAAAGAAGTTTCTGGAAATAACTGCGGCGAACAATGAAAACAGAATATTTGAAATCAATCTCTTGTTATTTAAAAAGCCATTAGGTTAATCCGGGGCTTAAATTTCTGCCTATCTTAAAATGACACGCCGACTACGCATAGCAATAGCTCAGTTCTTGTTTGGGTTTGCTGTGATTCACCTCGTCGCGTTGTGGTTGTTACGATGTGGTAAACAAAAACTATATGCGTGGACACCGAAAGGGTAAGCGAGATATTGTTTTATTAATTTATTTATTTTTATAATTACATATAATTACACTTGATAATTGCGCAACACGAATGGGCTAATTTTATTAACCAATTTTTTACTCTATCTAATCATTTCGCCGAACAATACATAACCTTTATAGTGCAGGTAACGTTCAATTGTTGAAAATGACTATTAGTTCGTTGTTAAATATTTTTTTATTTAATCGTTTTTGATATTTAAAACGAAATTTTACTGTTTTATCAGTTATCACACACCATCCCCGCCATATTTTTTTGCATGTTCATTGTTTTTAATAAGGTGTGTACTTGGCTTGAATTAACACATGTTGTACATCATGGAAGCAAAACTTAGTGCTTTTGGTACACGAGTAATTTTTGTCTTTTCTTACGAAATCCAGAAGTCGCTAGTGTTTAAGTCAATATCAATGATAATAATCATTTTGTGAGTAATTCAGGTGAGGTCATTGTTTAGAACGATATCTTATATTTGTTTTTTTTTTATATTTAAGAATCAGTGTATAGTTCTATCTCTCTCACGCACATGGGTTTTTTAGTTACGTTTATTGACTATCTATTTGTTTTAAATTTTTCCCGCATTTTCTTATATACAGTGCATCGAAAATGAATGGAATCTAACAACCTTTAGAAAACATTGGTCAAATCAAAAGTTATCCGGACACAACTTCCCTTGCAGTTGTTATGACAAAGAGATTTGAATGATTTTACTATTAAAATTATTAAGCTACGATATCAATAATTATTATTAATATAAGCAAACGCAACATTTCACTTTTCTCAAATTTTGAAAAAAATAAGGCATTCTAATCAAAATTTTAGATAATGAATGACTAAATGAAATCCCTCATAATCCACGAAAAAATTCTGGGATACAGATTAGGCGTTCTAAAACGAAAAATGTAGCCGGGCTCAGAGAAAGATTTTTGAAAAAACCAATTTGAAAAGCAACATTTTTTAAAGTTCCAAAAATTGCCATATTTCGTGTTTATGATTCTGCAAAAATGGTAACAAATTTTGAACAAGTACTCGAAAAAAATCTTCTCGGTGATCATTGAATCTGGATTTCCATTTTAAACATGTTTTAAGTTTCATGTTGTAAAAAGCAGTCTACACATATTAAAATAAAAAGGCAAAATGTATGTATTTTTGTAAGGAAATATGGATTTTGCAGTTAGGCTCCGCCCCTCGGTCTGCCAACGAATGAAAACTTCATTAGTATTTAGATCAGGGCAGGTATGGGTGGGGCTTAATCTTTGGCTTTAATTTTTTCTTAATATAAATAGTATTCTTTGAATAACACGATACTCAAAAACATGTTTTGAATTTCTCGTGAAGAAATAAGGATTTTGCAGGTAAGCTCCGCCCTCTTGGCTCACGACGAATAAAAAAATCATCACAATTGAGATAGGGCGGGTGGGTGGGGCTACGTTTTTCCTTTTGTTCTTAATATGTGTAGACTTATTTCGACAACAAGAAGCTTAAAACATGTCTAAAATGGTAAATTTTTGTAGTAATCAACTTAAATCCTCCACTTTTCTTCTATGTACAACCACTTTAAATACGGCAAAAGTTGAACATCAAAATTACTATCAACGGCAACTTGGCAACGGAGTGAAAAAAAAAATCTCTAATTTTCGAAAATCGTCGAAAACAGATCGAAAATTTCAGAACGCAAAAATTGACTTTTGGAAAGTTGCCTCAAAATCGGCAAAAAATTCTGTGATATAGATTAGGCGTTCTAAAACGAAAAATGTAGCCGGTCTTGGAGAAAGATTTTTGAAAAATTCAATTCGAAAAGCAACATTTTTTAAAGTTCCAAAAATTGCCATATTTCGTGTTTATGATTCTGCAAAAATGGTAACAAATTTTGAAAAAGTAGTCGAAAAAAATCTTCTCGGTGATCATTGAAACTGGATTTCCATTTTAAACATGTTTTAAGTTTCATGTTGTAAAAAGCAGTCTACACATATTAAAATAAAAAGGCAAAATGTAAGCCCGCCCACCCGCCCTATCTCAATTGGGATGATTTTTTTTATTCGTCGTGAATCAAGTGGATGGAGTTTACCTGCAAAATATTTCCTTACAAGAAATTAAAAACATGTTTTTGAGTATCGTGTTGTACAAAGAATACTATATATATATTAAGAAACAACGGCAAAATATTAACCCCGCCCACCCACCCCATCTCAATTGTGATATTTTTTTATTCGTCGTGAACCAAGGGGACGAAGCTTAACTGCAAAATATTTATTTCTTTACAAGAAATCAAAAACATGTTTTTGAGTATCGTGTTGTTCAAACAATACCATATATTTTATATTAAGAAAAAAAAAAATCAAAATATTTAAACCCGCCTACCCACCCCACCTCAATTGTGATGATTTTTTTTTATTCTTAGAAACTTTACAACACGTTTAAAATGGTAAATTTTTGTAAGGAAATATGGATTTTGCAATTAGGCTCCGCCCCTAGGTCTGCCAACGAATGAAAACTTCATTACTATTTAGATCAGGGCAGGTATGAGTGGGGCTTAATCTTTGGCTTTAATTTTTTCTTAATATAAATACTATTCTTTGAATAACACGATACTCAAAAACATGTTTTGAATTTCTCGTGAAGAAATAAGGATTTTGCAGATAAGCTCCGCCCTCTTGGCTCAGGACGAATAAAAAAATCATCACAATTGAGATAGGGCGGGTGGGTGGGGCTACGTTTTTCCTTTTGTTCTTAATATGTGTAGACTTATTTCGACAACAAGAAGCTTAAAACATGTTTAAAATGGTAAATTTTTGTAATAATCAATTTAAATTCTCCACTTTTCTTCTATGTACAACCCCTTTAAATACGGCAAAAGTTGAAGATCAAAATTACTATCAACGGCAACTTAGCAACGGAGTGAAAAAAAATCTCTTCCTCTAATTTTCGAAAATCGTCGAAAAAAGATTGAAAATTTCAGAACGCAAAAATTGATTTTTGGAAAGTTGTCTCAAAATCGGCAAAAAATTCTGGGTTATAGATTAGGCGTTCTAAAACGAAAAATGTAGCCGGTCTCGGAGAAAGATTTTTGAAAAATTCAATTCGAAAAGCAACATTTTTTAAAGTTCCAAAAATTGCCATATTTCGTGTTTATGATTCGGGAAAAATCTCCTGGGTGATCATAAAATCCGGATTTTTTGTCAAAAATTTTCCCAAGACATCCAAAACTCCCAGCGGAGTCATACACAAGTGTAGGAGATTATTACTGTATAACGTTTAAATAATTTGAATAGAAAAACTTTCGAGATGACCTCATCAACTTGTTGGCGGTGATGATGGGATGATTAATCAAATTGCCCATTTTAAATATGTTTTAAGTTTCATGTTGTGAAAAAAAGTCTACACATATTAATAAAACAAAAAGGAAAAATGTAAGCCCGCCCACCCGCCCTATCCCAATTGTGATGATTTTTTCATTCGCCTTGAACCAAGGGGGCGGAGCTTAACTGCAAAATACTTCTTCATAAGAAATTAAAAACATGTTTTTGAGTATCGTGTTGTTAAAAGAATTCTATGTATATTAAGAAAAAAAATCGTAAATATAAACCCCGCCCACCCACCCCGTCTCAATTGTGATGATTTTTTTATTCTTAGAAACTTTAAAACATGTTTAAAATGGTAAATTTTTGTTAGGAAATATGGATTTTGCAGTTAGGCTCCGCCCCTCGGTCTGTCAACGAATGAAAACTTCATTGCTATTTAGATCAGGGCAGCTATGGATGGGGCTTAATCTTTAGTATTCTTTGAATGACGATTTTGCAATTAAATTCCGCTCCTTTGGGTCTCGACGATTAAAAAAGATCATTACAATTGAGATAGGGTGGGTGGGCGGGGCTTATTTTTTGCCTTTTTTCTTAATATACGTACATGTCTTTGTAGAACAAAAACAAGAAATTTTCCCTAGACATCCAAAACTTCGCGAATTCATATTATTACTGTACAACGTTTAAATAATTTTAATAGAGAAACTTTTGAGATGACGTCAGCAAATTGTTGGCAGAGATGATTGATCAAATTTTAGTTAGTAATTGTTTTAATTCAATTACTGCGTCATTCTTAAAGATTTGTCTTTTATAGAATTTATGTCTTGTCTGAGTTGAAAATGCAACGATCAAAGACAAACTCCCAAAGATTCATGGCTGCGTTTGATGGCGTTTTTTATTCTCTCGGTATAAATGAGTCCAGCACGAGTAGCGATGACGTCATAACCTTGAAAACTAAAGTTTTCATGCAAAAAGAACTTCTAACTTAATATCTCAATTATAACGGTAAATAGTTGTGTTACTACTTGTAATTATGGTTTTTATGTTTACTTTTAATTGCACTTTGCTGTATAGTTTTTTCAAATGGTTATCTTGCGTTTTTTTTTTTGGTCTATAATTTTCACTTAGCGGTGAAGCTAAGCATTGAAATAATATCCTTGAATTTTTTAAACAACTTTTTCAAAAATGAAATTTTCCATCAGATACCTCTCCGGCGGTGCTTTGGAGCTTGCCCAAACCTAGGCGGAAAAGGCGGAGGCAGATAATGAGTTATAATGTTTAATTTGTTGTCAGACCAAGGGGTGGAGCTTAATTGTAAAATCAATGTTTCTTTACAAAAATTTAGCCCCGCCCACCCGTCGTCACCTCAACTGTGATGACATTTTTTCCTGGAGGGCGAGCTTAATGGCAAAATCTTTATCCCTCTATAAAAAAATACCCCTTGGCACATCTTTGAAAAAAAACGAAGGAACAAAAATAAGCCCCACCCACCCGCCCTAATCTCGGTTGTAACGAATTTTTCATTCGTTGTCAAGCCGAGGGGCGGAGCTTAAATGCGAAGTTCGTATTTCTGTACAAGAAATTATCAAAACATGTTTTAAATGCATATTATCATATCATTTCAAGAAAAAAGAGACTTATGTAACTTCCCCCACTTACGACAACATGGTACTTGGAATCTGCATTAAGTCCGGCCCCTCGGCTCACGGCGAATAAAAAGTCATCACAATTGAGATGGGGGCGGGTGGGCGGGTCTTATATCTTTCTTTTTGTCTCAATATACGTAGTTTTCTTTTCTCAAAAAGAAACTGTTCCACATTTATTTTTTTACGCAAGTATGAATTTTGCAATTATGCTCCGCCCCTCAGTCTAACAACGAATGAAAAATTTATCACAACTGAAATCAGGGTGGGTGGGCGGGGCTTAATCTTTGGCTCTCGTTTATACTTAATGCATAGTTTTCTTTGAACAACACGATTCAACACGATTTACTTAAGAACATGTTGGTAATTTTTTGTAAAAAAAATCACAAGTAAAGATTTTGCTATTAAGCTCCGCCCCCGGCTCACGACGAATAAGAATAAATCCCCACATTTGAAATGGGGGCGGGTGGGCGGGGTTTATAACTGTTTTAAATAAACCTACAACTCTTCCGTTTTTTGTTCAAATTTTTAATTTTCTGGTGTAGGATAAAAAAATGACGGAAATGTAACAACTTTCATTTTCAACCGAAAACAGACGAAACAGGGTAAAGTTCTCAGTAGTAAACTTTTCCTTAAAACTTACTTATGTAATTTTTTTGTTGCACTATTGCAACGTCAGGTCACGTCATTGGTATTTATGAAGTTTTGACTTTGACCTCACACAGACAAAAACAACACGAAAGACACTAAAAATACAAGAAAAGTTATTTATTTTGGTGCTAAATAACGGGTGAACAAAAATTTTCAAAGTAGGGTAGGCTATAGAAATATTTTTCATTTTCTTTATTAAACTGGCAAACGATTGTCATTTTCTAGAAAATCTTTTCAGTCTAATAAAGAAACGAAACAAAAATATTTCCACAAATAACTAACAATTCTCCAATGTACAAAAGCCAGATTTAAAAAAAAATCCATTTGTCTTTTAAGAGAAGCATTCAGTATATTTGAGTACACCAGTGCCGAGGGACCTACTTTTATGACTAACATGCAATAACAGAAATTGGACTGGTGATGAGCCTACCTTTTTCAAACTTATTTTTACTATTTTCGAACGAAGCGAATCTTCAATTTATAAAATCGATCTTCCTTCAATCTTTTTTAAACGCCGCTTATAAATAGGAAGGTGGGAAGGTAAATGGAGAGCAAATTTTTGACAAACTTTCGACAAAAAAAATCAAAATCGAACTTTTGCCACCTCCATTCGCCGCAATGGCACTTAATCAACTTTCGCTCGTCGCTAAAACGGAAGAAAAAACAAAAACCACTCTTAACACATCTTTACTGTCATAAACGTACAAACCACAACCCCCCCACTTACCTTTTCCCGTCAACTCGAGCGGCGGCGCTTCGTCGTCCGACGACGTGATCGACGTGCAGCTACTCGTGCTATCCGACCTCGGACGCAGCGGCTTGAAACTCTCCGACGAATTATTCTCCTCCGTGCTGACCGGCTCCTCCATCGACGTCTTATCGTTATTGTTAAGCTTCTTCCTCTGCCTGTACTCTGTAATCGAAAGCTACCCCCAGAAATCACCACAATTGTACGAAAAAACTCAAATAGTTTACCTTTCTCTTTGCAGGAGTGATGGGCTCCGGTTTTCTCTCCTCGAACCCGAAAATACTCAGCGTCTTCTCGACGGTGCCCACCAGGTGATCGCTATTCGAGAACATGTGATGGTGGTCTCTGGACAAGCGCGGGTCCATAAGGCAACCGACCGGAGGCATCTCCGGCCGGGAGCTCGGCGGAGGCGCCTCCTGGAGTGGAGGGATTACGCAGTTACTGAACTCTTCCTTCATCTCGGCGACGCGCTCCTCGAGAACGGCGTCCGACTCGATGGCTTGAGTGGGGCTGTCTTCGTCCGCGCCGCTGTAGACGATCTCCACGCAGCCTTCCTGCACTGGCGGCCGTTCGCTCTACAAACAAAACAATATAATATCTGACGTCATTTCAACGAGTTAGTTCTTACGATGGGGGTTGGAGGAGCCACGCTCGTTGGTGTCGACGGCGGAGTGATGTCGTTCGACAGCGACTCCCGGGGCAAGCGGCGCTTTTTTGGAGGTGCTATCGTGTCGCTGATTGGAGGAGATTCTACAACGAACAAATTAAAAAACGAACTCTACTTTCACACTTTTTTTTTACCAGGACGCCCGGAAGGACTATCACATTGGTCTTCGCTGATGGCTTGCCGCAGCCACCTTTTCTTAGCGTTCCCTCGCGGTTGCACGTTCGTATCACAAAAACTAGCTACTTGAGCGAGCGCAGCGAGGCTTTTACCCGGGTTGTAAAAGCCCACATTCGAGTCATATTCAGAGCCGGTGTTGATATGTGGTGTGAGTGAAGACGGCGATATTGAACTGGCGGAGTGGACAGGTTCTGGCACTTTGTTCAACCACTCGTTCATTAAAACCTGGAATGGCACGGTTATCAAAAAGTCCAGAGACGGGCGACGATTTCGGCTACCTTTTTGGTTTTTGGGAACTTGAAACCTTGTTCCATGGGTTCGACGGCCGCCTGGACTAGCAGGCAGGCGGATGATAGATGGGTTTCGGGCGATGACTGAGCTGAATTTGAGTTTGAGTCGGTTTCGCGGGGCGGTGATTTATTCGCTTTTTCTCCATTCGAAAGAGCCAAAAGGAGACCGACGTCCTTTTCGGAGCAGTTTTGTTGGTTACCTAAAGACGACGATGGGGTTTTTGGTTTTTCGAAAATATAATGAAACGCACCTTGAGTATTTTCCTTGCAATCGGTGTCCTTCATGGAAGGACGAGTTACCGGAGGGTTATCATGCGGAGAAAGAAGCGTTTCATCCCCTGACGTTAGATATGAATCGGTTGAATTGAGACGATTTCTCCTATTGGCTGGTGTGTTTGTACTTGCAGTTCGGGCTCTACCTTTTCTCCTATAAACACATTTCAGCAAAATTAAACAAGTCGTCTTTGAAATAATATAAAAATTATATGGATAACTCGTTTTTGATTTAATCAATAAAATTTAATGAAATAAAAGAATTGCTCGATTAATTTCTTTTTGATCATTTTGTTTAAACATTAAAAAAACAGGACAATTTTATCATTTCATTTTGTAGTAATTTTAAAAATTACGCGTCTAATAAAGTAGCAAACTGACGTCAGATAAACGAAAACGGAAGACCCACTTTTTGATTCTCTAGGAAACAGAAACGTCAAGTTTACGTTCGCGAAGTAAAAACACAAATAAAAAATTTATTTTATGTATTTTTTTATGAGGTCTACAAGTTAAACTCACTCATTCATTTTTTTTTAGTCACCCTGTATAAGCAATTTTAGAAAATATGAATGCAAACATAAATCACATTTGCAGACCCATCATATTTTGCACATTTGGAAAAATTTTAAGATGACGTCATTCCCACATTTGTCTACAAATTTTTCATTTTAAACATGTTTTCAGTTTCTTGTCATGAAAAAAACTACAATTAATGAAAAATGGCAAAATACAAACCCCGCCCACCTGCCCGCATCTCAATTGTGTTGACTTTTTTATTCGTTGTGAGCCGAGGGGCGGAGTCTAATTGCAATATCCCCTGAAGTAGGAGGGACATTTTTCTGGAAGATAGCACTAATTCCACGAAAATCAAATTTTTATAGCGATAACGAGGTCCACTAATATTAAGCCATTTAAACACCTGTTCTTAACGTTTAAATCGATAAGGGCTTACATTTTGCCCTTAATCTGTGTAGTGTAATCTTTTCAAAAGAAGGAAGGTAAAACATATTTAAAATGGTAAATTTGTGTAGGAAAGTATCGATTTTGCAATTAGGCTCCGCCCCTCGGTGTGACAACGAATGAAAAATTCATCACGATTGAGACCGGGCGGGTGGGCGGGGCTTAAATTTTGCCATTTTTTTAAATATATGTAGCCATCTTTTCACAACAAGAAACTTAAAACATGGCCAATGGCACATTTTTGCAAGGAAATGTGGATTTTGCAATTATGAGGCGGAGCCTAATTCCAAAATTGATATTTCCTTATACAATTTTTTCATTTTAAACATATTTTAAGTTTTATGTTGTGAAAATAAGTCTACAAATGTTAAAACAAAAAGACAAAATGTATGCCCGCCCACCCGCCCGCTCTCGATTGTGATAATTTTTTTTATTGGCCGTAAACCAAGAGGGCGGAGCTTAACTGCAAAATACTTATTACGTTACACAAGGAATTAAAAACCTGTTTTTGAGTATCGTATTGTTCAAAGAATACAATGTATATTAAGAAAAAAAGGCTAAATATCAACCCCGCCCACCCACCCCGTCTGAGAAACTTAAAATACGTTTCAAATGATAATTTTTTGTAAGTAAATATGGATTTTGAAATTAGGTTCCGCCCCTAGGTCTGCCAACGAATGAATTTGCTATTAAATTCCGCTCCTCTGGCTCTCGACGATTAAAAAAATCATCACAATTGAGATAGGGCGGGTGGGCGGGGCTACATTTTCCTTTTTTTTTCTTAATATGTGTAGAGTTATTTCGAGAACAAGAAACTTAAAACATGTCTAAAATTGCGACGAATTTTTCATTCGTTATCAAAACAAGGGGAGGAGCATAATTGTAAAATAGATGTTTCCCGACAAAAATTTACATCTTTAAACATGTTTTAAATATCTTGTCGTGAAAAGAAGATTACGTATAGTCAGAAAAAAGGTAAAATTTAGGCCCCGCCCACCCGCCCCATTTCAGTTGTAATGATTTTTTTTATTCGTCCTGAGTCGGGGAGCGGAGTTTATTTTCAAAATCCTCCCTTCTCTATTAGAAATTAGCATCCGAACCGTGTTTTTAAGCATGGTAGATATATGAAAAAAGCGGGGGAGGGAGCCAGAGTTTTAAATTATTAATAATTTGATTTAATTAACTTAAATTTTCTAGGTAACTAATCAAAATTTAAATAGAATCCGCTGAATATTTAAAAGTAATAAGATTTTCGAGTCATGAAGTTGAAATTCTCAATTTCTAAATCAAAATTCCATGTTAATTAATTAATAATCGTAATTTTGGAATGATTAAATTGAAACCATTGCTTAATGAACTTTAAACTTCAAGAAAACTAGCTAATTTAAATGAATACGATAAAATTTTGAGAGAATTTAATTATTAATTAATTTCAAATGTTCAAATTGTAGTCATTTGACTTAAATTAACTTAAAATTTCTAGATATCTAATCGATTTGACGTTAATATAGAAAATTTAAACCAGAATAAGTGATGGAATTTTTGAAATTTTAAATTACTAAATCAAAAGTACTAATTAATTAAGTCGATTTTGGAATTCAAGCTATGACTTAATTAACTTTGAATTGCAAGAAAATTCGATTGTTTTAAATGCATAAAATAAAATGTTGATAGAAATAATTCTAATTTTGGACTAGTAACTTGGCTTAATTAACTCAACTTCAGGATTTTCAAGTAACTAAGTTGAAATTTAAACTGACTTAATTAACCTTAAACTTCGTAAAATTAGAAAGTTTAACATGAATACGATAAAATTTTGAAAGAAAACATCCTAGTTTCGGATTAATTAGTAACTAATTAACTTAAAATTGGAAGATAAGTAAACAAAATTTCAATTAATGTTTTCAAAATTTAAACCAGCAAGGCAGGCGAAATTTCCAGATAACCTGCTGAAATTTAGACGTTCAAACTCAAAATTTCTAGATAATGTATTCACAATTTTCCAAGGAGGAGTTAAATTTTCAAACAAATTTTCTTTAAAATATCTTTAAATATCAAAATTATTTTATCGATGTTCTAGTTAATTGGTTGAAATTTTTAATGATTACTTAAAATAGATATATGTATAAAATAAGTAGAAATTACGCAATAATAAGTACGTGAAAGCAGACATTATTAAGACAGAAGCAAGTAAACAAGTTAAAACTTCAAGTTGTTAAAAAGGAAATTTTAATCTATTAAATGTACCACTGGCACTGTTTTAAGTTTCTTGTTGCGAAAAGATGGCTATGTATATTAATAAAAACAAAAGACAAAATATAAGCCCCGCCCACCCACCCGGTCTCAATTGTGATGATTTTTTTTATTCACCGTGAACCAAGGGGCCGAAGCTTAACTGCAAAATACTTATTTCTTTGCACGAAATTAAAAACATGTTTTTGAGTATCGTATTTTAAGCAATATACAATGTATATTAAGAAAAAAAGGATAAATATCAACCCCGCCCACCCACCATGTCTCAATTGTGATTTTTTTTCTTAGAAAGTTAAAATACGTTTCAAACGGTAAATTTTGTAAGGAAATATGGATTTTGAAATTAAGCTCCGCCCCTAGGTCTGCTGAATTGGCTATTAAATTCCGCTCCTCTGGCTCTCAACGATTAAAAAAATCATCACAATTGAGATAGGGCGGAGCTCCATTTTTCCTTTTTTTTCTTAATATGTGTAGAGTTATTTCGAGAACAAGAAACTTAAAACATGTCTAAAATTGCGACGAATTTTTCATTCGTTATCAAAACAAGGGGAGGAGCATAACTGTAAAATAGATGTTTCCCGACAAAAGTTTACATCATGAAACATGTTTTAAATATCTTGTCGCGAAAAGAAGATTACGTATAGTCAGAAAAAGGTAAAATTTAAGCCCCGCCCACTCGCCGCCATTTCAATTTTTTTTATTCGTCGTGAGCCGGGGGGCGGAGTTTATTTTCAAAATCCTCCATTTTCTATTAGAAATTAGCATCCGAACCGTGTTTTTAAGTATGGTACGTATTAAAAAAAGGCGGGGGAGGGAGCCAGAGTTTTAAATTATTAATAATTTGATTTAATTAACTTAAATTTTCTAGGTAACTAATCAAAATTTAAATCTAATCCGCTGAATATTTAAAACAAAATAAGTAATAAGATTTTCGAGTCATGAAGTTGAAATTTTCAATTTCTAAATCAAAATTCCATGTTAATTCATTAATAATCGTAATTTTGGAATGATTAAATTGAAACTATTACTTAATCAACTTTAAACTTCAAGAAAACTAGCTAGTTTTAAATGAATACGATAAAATTTTGGGAGAATTTAATTATGAATTTCAAATTGTCAAATTGTAGTCATTTGACTTAAATAACTTAAAATTTCTAGACATCTAATTGACTTGACGTTAACATAGAAAATTTAAACCAGAATAAGTGATGGGATTTTTGAAATTTTAAATTCCTAAATCAAAAGTACTAATTAATTAAGTCGATTTTGGAATTCAAGCTATGACTTAATTAACATTACATTGCAAGAAAATTCGATTGTTTTAAATGCATAAAATAAAATGTTGATAGAAAAAATTCAAATTTTGGACTAGTAATTTGGCTTAATTAACTCAACTTCAGGATTTTCAAGTAACTAAGTTGAAATTTAAACTGACTTAATTAACCTTAAACTTCGTGAAAATTAGCAAGTTTAACATGAATACGATAAAATTTTTAAAGAAAATATCCTAGTTTCGGATCAGTAATTAATTAACTTAAAATTTGAAGACAAGTAAACAAAATTTCAATTAATGCTTTCAAAAGTTAAACAAGTACGGCGAAATTTACAGATAACCTGTTAAAATTTAGACGTTCAAACTCAAAATTTCAAGATAATTTTTTCCCAATTTTCCAAGGAGGAGTTAAATTTTCAAACAAATTTTCTTTAAAATATCTTTAAATTTCAAAATTATTTTATCGATGTTCTAGTTAATTGGTTGAAATTTTTAATGATCTACTTAAAATAGATATATGTATAAAATAAGTAGAAATTACGCAATAATAAGTACGTGAAAGCAGACATTATTAAGACAGAAGCAGGTAAACAAGTTAAAAGTTCAAGTTGTTAAAAAAGAAATTTTAATCTATTAAATGTACCACTGGCACTGTTTTAAGTTTCTTGTTGCGAAAAGATGGCTATGTGTATTAAGAAAAACAAAAGACAAAATATAAGCCCCGCCCACCCACCCGGTCTCAATTGTGATGATTTTTTTTATTCACCGTGAACCAAGGGGCCGAAGCTTAACTGCAAAATACTTATTTCTTTACACGAAATTAAAAACATGTTTTTGAGTATCGTATTTTGAGCAATATACAATGTATATTAAGAAAAACAGAATAAATATCAACCCCGCCCACCCACCCCGTCTCAATTGTGATTTTTTTTTTTCTTAGAAACTTAAAATACGTTTCAAACGGTAAATTTTTGTAAGGAAATATGGATTTTGAAATTAGGCTCCGCCCCTAGGTCTGCCAACGAATGAATTTGCTATTAAATTCCGCTCCTCTGGCTCTCAACGATTAAAAAAATCATCACAATTGAGATAGGGCGGGGCTCCATTTTTCCTTTTTTTTCTTAATATGTGTAGAGTTATTTCGAGAACAAGAAACTTAAAACATGTCTAAAATTGCGACGAATTTTTCATTCGTTATCAAAACAAGGGGAAGAGCAAAATTGTAAAATAGATGTTTCCCGACAAAGATTTACATCATGAAACATGTTTTAAATATCTTGTCGCGAAAAGAAGATTACGTATAGTCAGAAAAAGGTAAAATTTAAGCCCCGCCCACTTGCCGCCATTTCAATTTTTTTAATTCGTCCTGAGCCGGGGGGTGGAGTTTATTTTCAAAATCCTCCCTCCTCTATCAGAAATTAGCATCCGAACCGCGTTTTTAAGTATGGTACGTATTAAAAAAAGGCGGGGGAGGGAGCCAGAGTTTTAAATTATTAATAATTTGATTTAATTAACTTAAATTTTCTAGGTAACTAATCAAAATTTAAATCTAATCCGCTGAATATTTAAAACAAAATAAGTAATAAGATTTTCGAGTCATGAAGTTGAAATTTTCAATTTCTAAATCAAAATTCCATGTTAATTAATTAATAATCGTAATTTTGGAATGATTAAATTGAAACTATCGCTTAATCAACTTTAAACTTCAAGAAAACTAGCTAGTTTTAAATGAATACGTTGAAATTTTGAGAGAATTTAATTATTAATTAATTTCAAATTGTTCAAATTGTAGTCATTTGACTTAAATTCACTTAAAAATTCTAGATATCTAATCGATTTGACGTTAATATAGTTGAAAATTTAAACCAGAATAAGCAATGGGATTTTTGAAATTTTAAATTCCTAAATCAAAAGTACTAATTAATTAAGTCGATTTTGGAATTCAAACTATAACTCAATTAACTTTAAATTGCAAGAAAATTAGATTGTTTTAAATGCATAAAATAAAATGTTGATAGAAAAAATTCTAATTTTGGATTAGTAATTTGGCTTAATTAACTCAACTTCAGAATTTTCAAGTAACTAAGTTGAAATTTAAACTGACTTAATTAACCTTAAACTTCGTGAAAATTAGCAAGTTTAACATGAATACGATAAAATTTTGAAAGAAAACATCTTAGTTTCGGATTAGTAATTAATTAACTTAAAATTTGAAGATAAGTAACAAAATTTCAATTAATACTTTCAGAAGTTAAACAAGCACGGCGAAATTTACAGATAACCTGTTGAAATTTGGACGTTCAAACTCAAAATTTCAAGATAATTTATTCCCAATTTTCCAAAGAGGAGTTAAATTTTCAAACAAATTAACTGAAAATTTCGATATAATAGATCGAAATTTTAAGAAAAAATTTCGAAATTGTAATGTATTAAATGGGAATTTAGAGATAATTTAATCAAGATTTTGTCGTAAGTAGGTCCAATTTTGCAATCAGTCAATTAAAATTTTCTTTAAAATATCTTTAAATTTCAAAATTATTTTATCGATATTCTAGTTAATTGGTTGAAATTTTTAATGATCTACTCAAAATAGATAAATAAAATAAGTAGAAATTACGCAATAAACAAGTTAAAAGTTGTTAAAAAGGAAATTTTAATCTAGCGGATTCATAAACTACACGTATAGGACCATATCGTACCTTTTGCGTTTCAACTTCGGCTCCAGCTTATCCTCCTCCTTCCCCGGCCCCGGCTCTGACTCCCTCCTGTGCGCTTGCTTCGCCTGGTGCTCCTGCTTCCTCTGATCCGCCTTTTCCATCTGCGCGATCGCCCTCAGGATCGCCTCCAGCTTCCTCTCCTCCCTACTCAGCTTCTTGTTCTTGTTCTTCTCTACTGGAGGTGACGATTCTAAATTAAAATTGGGATGCAGTGGCTCCATCACCCAAACCTACCTTCTTTCGCCTCCTGTGGCGACTCCTTGCCCTCCTCCTTCTCTACTTTATGGTGCGACGACGATCGCCGCGTCGCGATCGGCGGCGTTGGTGGCGTTTGCGGCGCCGGCTTCACATCCTCCTCTTTCACTTTCACGTCCTTCACCTCCGGCGGAGGCGCCTCTTCGACGACGGGCTCGACGACCTCCTCCTTCACCTCGGGCTTGATCTCCTCCGGCTCCGGTTTGACGATTTCCTCGGGCTCCGTTTTGATTTCGTCTTCTTCGAGTTCCACCTCCTGCTTGACGGGCGTCGACGGAGACGCCGGAGGTTGAACCACGGGCTCTTTCTTCGGCGGCTTACTTGGCGGAAGTTCCGGCTCAGATGATAGCGATAAGGATGTTGTTCTCCGACCACGCCTCTTCTTGTGCCTTCAATGTCAACGATACCCAATCAAAATTAGCGTACGAGTGATATTACTTCAACACCGATAAGTAAATTATATTTCGGTTATAATCTGTTCGTAAAACTTGAGAAGTGTCATTATATTTTATGTAATGGCGTATCCAATCGGAGCGTGATTGGCTGCTTTAAAAAAACGAGCGCCGACGATAAGAATGTTTACGTATTTATTGAAATTAGGAAAACTACTACTTGATGATAAATCTGCTATTTTTATTAGGATGTTTTATCGGCTTTATCGGGCTTATCGGTGTTGGAAATGGATAAGGGATTCGATGTTTGGTTGTTATTTACTAAAATTGCGTTGTTTTGGTCGCGGCGGCAACATTCAAAATAATCGAACTAGTGAGAAATGAGGTTTTTTCCACAGAACTTCCCTTGCCCCTGAGGTCCAACCCAACAAATCCCGTGTTTTTGAAAAAAACTATTTCAGTTGTTTCAATTTTTCGATTTGCAGTTTTTTAATTTTTTTCTTCAATTTTACGATAAGTAACTAGTGTTTATTTTTAAAATTTTCAGTTTTTCGATTTCCCAATTTTTAAATTTTTCTATTTGCAATTTTCCGGTTTTCAATTTTTGTTTTTTTTTTAATTTTTCGGTTTTTCAATTATTGCAGTTTCTAATTTTTTCGTTTATTCTATTTTTCAATTTTGATGATTCTATAATTTTTCAATTTTACAATTTTTGGGTTTCAATTCGTTTTTTCTTCTTTCTAGTTTTTCGATTAATTTTTTTTTTTATTTTTAAGCTTCTCGATTTATAGTTTTTCAATGTTTCAATTTTTCGCTTCTTCGGTTCTTCGATTTGTAATTTTTCCATGTTTTACTTTTTTGATTTTGCAATTTTTCGATTTTTCAACTTTTGTAATCAGAAAAATTTAAACTTTGAAAAAAATTAGAATCAACAATCTGAAAATTAAAAAACGAAAAATTCAAAAATCGAAGAATTAAAAATTGAGAAACTTAAAAATCGATAAGGTCCAAAATCAAAACGAAATATTGTAAAATCGAAATTTTGAAAATTAAAGAAAACATCAAATTGGAAAATTCGAGAAATTGAAAACCTCTAAAAAGTTAAAACCAGCATCGATTTTTCCAATTTTTCTTTTTCTTTTTGTTTTTTATGATTTACGATTTATAATTTGTCGAGTTTTCAATTTAAAATTTTTCAGTTTTTCGATTATTTAATTTTTCATTTCTCTAAATTTTCGATTTGCAAGTTTTCGTCTCGGCTTTTTATTTTCTTTATTTTTCCAATTTTTCGATTTATAATTTTGTGTTTCTTCAATTTCCTCGAATGTTCATTTGTTCATTTTCATTTTAAAATTTTTCAGTTTTTCAATGTCCTGATTTTTTTTTATTTTCACAACGTGAAATTTTCCAATTTTTCGTTTTTTCAATTTTGGATTTTTCAGTTTTTCGATTTTTGAATTTTTGATTTGCTATATTCCTAGTTTTCATTTTTCCATTTTTCAATTATTGGAATTTCAAATTTTTTCGTTTATTCTATTTTTTAATTTTTCGATTGTACAATTTTTGGGTTTCCAATTTTTCGATTCAATTTTTTTTTTAATTTTAAAAGCTTTTCGATTTTTAGTTGTTCAAGGTTCGATTTTTCGCTTCTTGGATTTGCAATTTTTCGATTTTTCAACTTTTCGAATTAAAAAAATGAGAACTTTGAAAAATATAAAAATCAGAATCAAGAACTTGAAAATTGAAAAACGAAAAATAAAAAATCCAAAAGGTGCAAATTCGAAAAAACGAAATATTGTGAAGTCTAAAGATAGGAAATTAAAGAAATCAGACAATCGGATAATTAAGATGTAATATCCAAAAATAAAGGAAATAAGAAACGAAAATTTTTATATAAAATCAGGAAAATGAAGAATAAAAAAAATCAATAACTTTAAAAACTGAAGAAAAGTAGAATTGAAAAATCGAAATTTAAAAATTGAGAAAGTGAAAAATCAAAAAATTAAAAATTGTAATATAAAAAAATTGCAAATTGAAAAATTCAAGAAACTAAAAATTTAAAAATTTACAAGTCGGGAAAATGAAAAAATGAAAAGTTGAAAAACGAAAAATTATGAAAACGAAACATTTAGAAATCAAAAAAATGAAAAAACAAGGAAAACGAAATATTGTGAAATCAAAAATTGATCGATAAATAAATCCAGATTTTTCGAAAAAAAAAAAAAAAATGTATTAAAAAATTAAGAAAATGAAAACGAAAAATTTTATATAAAATCAGGAAAATGAAAATCAAAAAACCGGGAAAATCAAAATAAAAATCAATAATATGAAAAACTGAAGAAACGAAAAATGGAAAATTAAAAATTGGGAAATTGGAAAATCAAAAAAATTGAAAAATTTGGAACTCGAGAAATTGAAAAAATTAAAGATCAAAGAATGAAAAATTATGAAACCGAAACATTAAAAAAATGAAAAAACTGAAAAATAAAGAAAACTAAAAATTGTGATATCAAAAAATTGAAGAAACCAAGGAAAAAAAAAGAAAAATTGTGAAATCAAAAAATTAGTCGAAGATAAATAAAACCCAGATTTTTCGAAAAAAAAAGTAATACCAAAAAATCGCAATTTGAAAAATTGAAGAAACAAAAAATATAAAAATTTGTAAGTCGAGAAATTGAAAAAATTAAAATTGAAAGAACGAAAAATTATGAAACCGAAACATTGAAACAGAAAAATAGAAAAAAATAAAGAAAACGAAAAATTTTATATAAAAGCGGGAAAATGAAAATCAAAAAATCGGGAAAATGTAAAAAAACTTGAAAAACTGAAGAAACGAAGAATTGAAAAATCGAAAAATGGAAAAATTGGAAAACTAAAGAAAAAAAAAAATTGTGAAATCAAAAAATTGGTCAAAAATAAATAAATCCAGATTTTTCGGAAAAAATTGTAATATCAAAAAATAAAGGAAATGAAAAAACAAAAAAATTTAAAAATTGTGATATCAAAAAATTGTACAATACAAGAAAAAAGAAAAACGAAAAATTGTGAAAACAAAAAATTGGTCTAAGATAAATAAACCCACATTTTTCGGAAAAAAAGTATCAAAGAAAAGGAAAAAACGAAAAATGTTATTATCAATTTTTATATAAAACCGGGAAATTGACAAATAAAAATCAATAACATGAAAAACGGAAGAAACTAAAATTTCAAAAATCGAAAAATTTGGAAGTCGAGAAATTGAAAAAATTAAAGTACAAAGAATGGAAAATTATGAAACCGAAAAATTAAAAATATGGAAAAGTTGAAAAAAATAAAGAAAACGAAAAATTGTGCAATCAAAACATTGGTTGAAGGTTGAAGATAAATAAAACCCATTTTTCGAAAAAAAAAAAAAGGTATAACTAAAAAATTGCAATTTGAAAATTTGAAGAAACAACAATTAAAAAATTTGGAAGTCGAGAAATTGAAAAAATTAAAGTTGAAAGAATATTATGAAACCGAAACATTGAAAAATAGAAAAATTGTGATATCAAAAAATTAAACAATCCAAAAATAAAGAAAAACGAAAAATTGTAAAATCAAAAAACAAGGGAAATGAAAAAATGAAAAATTTTATATAAAATCGGGAAAATGAAAAAAAATTCAATGAAATCGAAAATTAAAAATTGGGAACTGAAAAATAAAAAAATGAAAAATTGTAATACAAAAAAAAAAAGCAAATTGAGAAATTGGAGAAACTGAAAATTGGAGACTTTGGAGGTCGAATGAAAAATTATAAAAACCGAAACATTGAAAAATTGAAAAAAAAAAAATTAAACAAAAAATTGTACAATCCAAGAAAAAAGAAAAATTGTGAAATCAAAAAATTGGTCGAAGATAAATAAATCCAGATTTTTCGGAAAAAAAAAAACAATTATCAAAAAATTAAGGAAACTGAGAAACGAAAAATTTTATATAAAATCGGGAAAATGAAAACCAAAAAACCGGGAAAATGAAAAATAAAAATCAGTAACTTGAAAAACTGAAAAAAGGAAAAATTTTATATAAAATCGGAAATATGAAAATCCAAAAAAAAAAAAAAAATGAAAAATAAAAATTAATATCTTGAAAAACTGAAGAAACGAAAAATCGGAATTTGAAAAAAGCGAAAACTAAAAAAACGAAAACTAAAAATTGAGAAACTTGAAAATCATGTGAATGAAAAAATTGGAAATTGAAAAATCGAAATAAACTAAAAATTGAAAAATTTGGAGGTCGAGAAACTGAGAAAATTAAAATTGAAAGAATGAAAAATTATGAAAACCAAAACATTGAAAAATGGAAAAATTGAAAAATCGAAAATTAAAAATTGTGAAACCAAAAAACGAATAATTTTATATAAAATCAAGAAAATGAAAACCAAAAAACCGGGAAAAAACAAAAATCAATAACTTGAAAAACTGAAGAAACGAAAAATTGAAAAATCGAAAATTAAAAATTGTAATATGAAAAAATTGCAAATTGAAAAATTGAAGAATCAAAAAAATTAAAAAATTTGGAAGTCGAGAAATTGAAACAATTAAAGTTGAAATGAAAAATTATGAACATGCAAAAATTCGAAAAATAAAGAAAAAGAAAAATTGTGAAATAAAAAAAATGATCAAGATTTTTGGAAAAAAACCGAAAAAACGAAAATTTTTTATAAAATCGGGAAAATGAAAATCAAAAAACCGGGAAAATGAAAAATAAAAATCAATAACTTGAAAGACCGAAGAAACGAAAAATTGAAAAATCGAAAGTTAAAAATTGTGAAATCAAAAAAAAGAAAAATTTTATATAAAATCGAGAAGATGAAAACCAAAAAACCGGGAAAATCAAAATAAAAATCAATAACATGAAAAACTGAAGAAACGAAAAATTGAAAAATCGAAAATTAAAAATTGTAATATGAAAAAATTGCAAATTGAAAAATTGAAGAATCAAAAAATTAAAAAATTTGGAAGTCGAGAAATTGAAACAATTAAAGTTGAAATGAAAAATTATGAACATGCAAAAATTGGAAAAATAAAGAAAAAGAAAAAGTGTGAAATAAAAAAAAATGATCGAGATTTTTGTAAAAAAACCGAAAAAACGAAAATTTTATATAAAATCGGGAAAATGAAAATCAAAAAACCGGGAAAATGAAAAATAAAAATCAATAACTTGAAAGACTGAAGAAACGAAAAATTGAAAAATCGAAAATTAATTATTTCTGCGAATTTTATTTTAAAATGTAAAGAAGCATGCTACGATTTGTTTCAATTGAGTTTTTGCATTAATTATTTAACTAAACACGGATTCATAAGCCACATGTAGACGATCATCTTTGTAATAATGTAAATTTTGGAAGAATATCTGTCTAATAAAAATTCGGACATACAGCAGACAGTCAGACAAAAACGGGGAACCTATTTTTTCGTACTCTACTTGTAGGAGTCATGAAACATCGAGAAAACATAAAAGCAGCCAATCGTCCCATGACTTCGCTTACAACACTTCCTTATCTTACACCCCCTACTCACATCTCCGTCGTATCTCCATTCTTCTTCACCGTCGTCCTATTCACCGTGCACTCGTCCACGTTCCCGCACGCGCACGCGATGTGCGTCGTCCCTATCGCGGCCAGATCGTGCGACTCGTGCTTGATCGTCAGCTCCACGTTCTTCTCGACGTTCGTGATCGTGACGATGTACAGATGCAGCACCCCCTTGACGATCGAGTGTCTCAGTTCGGCGTTCGGCTTGCACGAGCGCCGAATAAACCGCGCGCTGTTGCCGTAGGTCCGCGTGTCGACGCACACCTCCGTGTTGTCCTTGTGCAACCTGTAGAAGAAGAGGAACGGCCCGGGCCGCTGCGCGTGCTGCCGCGTGTTGAACGCGCTGCCCGAGTTGCGGTGCTGCGCAGACAGCATGTACTTGCCGCGCAATTCGATCACCGGCGAGTTCGGCGGCAGGTGAACGGTGCTCACGAGGTACTTGAGTTCGGTGAGGGGCTGCGTGTGGACGCGGCACTTGTGCACCGACGGCTCGAACTGGACCGAGAAGTCGGTGTGGGCGCCGTTCACGCGGATGTTGCTTATTCGAGCGCGCAGCTCCGGGGAGTAGTGGTTGGTGACGGCCTCCTCGTAGTTCTCGATCCACTGCCGGAGCTGGGGCAGGTGGGTGGAGGACGGGGGGTCGTGGGACTCGTCGTCGCTGTGGTTCTTTAGCTGGGCTTTTGTCTGGAACGAAGCGAGAATGTAACTATTAAAAGATGTTTCGGCTGCAGTTTCGAACGATTCGGTGGGAGGTCGCATTAAAAAAAATCTTCACATAATCACGTGCAGTGCAAAAAAAAAAAATGCTTCCAAGCTGTCATAAGTGAATATTAAATAAGAAATAATTTTAGTTAAGGACTTTGTTGCCATTAATGTGATTGCTACATCAAGTTAATAATAGCTAACCATATGGTTGCCATATGTTGGTGTCCTAGATATTCTCATTGTTTTTGCTTTTTGAAATTCTATACCACTATAAGAATTATTCTCAATTCGCCAATACGCAGGGTGTACCATGATGGAGTACCGAGAATTTACCAACACATTCTAGAGGTAAAAATGTTTCAACAGTTTTAATGAGCAAAAATCCCGCTTAAAAATAGATATTCTCAGTTTCTCAGTACATGCTTAACCCCGATGGTTTATGTTTATAATTCGAATTCAACTATTAGCACGTTCAGATTACAAATATTGGCGGTTAAAAGAAAAGAAGATTTGATTGATTTTGGCTACCCAACGCAGAGGACAGGACTGATTACACTGGTCAACAGCTAAGCTCTAACTTTTATTATAGCAGCCAATTATTATTTAATTAACAATTTTAAATGATATTATAAACGGCTAAACCCAAACTTAGCTCTCATTTAAAAGTAATCTTCAATATTATCCTTTGAAAAATGCAAAAATCGTACTATTGAGTAATAGGAAACTTTCTATATGGTGTATTTTTTTGTTATCAAATTGTTACAAACTTCTTGGGAAACAATAAGAAAACTACGTTTAGTAAGTAGAAAACATGTTATCATCATATAAAAAATTTAAAATTAACATATTCTTAAAAGTGCATTTTATGTATTCGCATCTTGATTTTTTCCCCAAAAATTATGACGACGTGAGTGACGGACATACAGAACGCTTCCATCTGGGCATTTTGTGGATACAAAAACGTTACCAAGATCGATGGAACACCTAAATGCTCGCAGAATACTGCGGGACCATCAAGCGAGAGATCTCCAATGAAATCCATAGGAGGCAACCGAAAAAACGTCGGTCTTAGCTGTTTCTTTTGTTTTTTTCGTTTTTTAAACTACAATCGTTGTTTTTTTCTTAATTATGGCTGTTCTTTTGTTAATACATCACTTTTTGCCGTTAAAGATACAAAAATTAAATTGTTTTACCTGCTTTTTTGTTTTTAACATTAAATATGCATTTTTATTTTTAATTGAGCTAAGTTGTAAGGTTTATGCCCTTTGTTACAAACACCGAGACAAATTAAACGAAAACATTACAATTATGTCAAAGTTAGAGAGAAAAAATTGAATTTTGTTGACCTGTGTTATTAATTAACTAAGCAGTTTTGTCACAAAAAATTGATGTTTTTAGTGTAAACACTCATAAATTAAAATAACATTAAATTGAAATTATGCCTTAATTAATGTAAAGTTTCTAGATTTGAAGTTAATATGCGATGAAAATTTAAAACAGAGTAAGCAATAGGATTTTCGAAACACTATGTTGACAGTTTCAATTCCTAAAATAAATCAAATCAATATTATAAGTCAATTAATTAATTAATTATTTAATATTCGATTTTGGAATGAATAAATTGTAACTATGATTTAAACTTTAATAAAATAAAATTTGAGAGAAAAAAAATCCCAATTTCAGATTAATAATTTGACTTAATTAACTCAATTGAATGCTCAAAATTTAAGCGGGAATAAGTAACACGATTTTCGAGGAACGAAATTGAAGTTTTCAATTCCTAAAACAAAATTCCCAGTTAATTAATTAATTATACAATTAAATTTAAACTCTGATTTCATTAACTTCAAACTTCAAGAAAATTAGCCAGTTTTAAATAAATAAGACAAAATTTTGAGAGAGAAAAAAAAAAAACAATTTTGGATGAGTAACTTGACTTAATTAATTCAATTTTTGAAGTTAATATGTTGAAAATTTAAGCGGGAATAAGTAATGGGATTTTCGAGTAACCAAGATGAAATTTTCAATTCCTATAACAAATTTGACTTAATTAACTCAATTGAATGTTCAAAATTTAAGCGGGAATAAGTAACACGATTTTCGAGGAACGAAATTGAAATTTTCAATTCCTAAAACAAAATTCCAAGTTAATTAATTAATTACGACTCAAAATTTTGGTACAATTAAATTTAAACTATGATTTCATTAACTTCAAACATCTGGAAAATTAACCAGTTCTAAATAAATAAGATAAAATTTTGAGAGAAAAAAATCCCGATTTCGGATTAGTAATCTCACTTAATTAATACAATTTTTGAAATTAATATCTTGAAAATTTAAGCGGGAATAAGTAACAGGATTTACGAGTAACGAAACTGAAATTTTCAATTCCTAAAACAAAATTCCTTCAGATTATGATTTCATTAACATCAAACTTCAAGAAAATTGGCCAATTTTAAATTAATAAGATAAAATTTTGAGAAAAAAAATCCCAATTTCGGATTAGTAATTATTTGACTTCATTAATTCAATTTTTGAAGTTAATATGTTGAAAATTTAAGCGGGAATAAGTAATGGGATTTTCGAGTAACAAAGTTGAAATTTTCAATTGCTGTAACAAAATTCCAAGTTAATTAATTAATTACGACTCAAAATTTTGGTACAATTAAATTTAAACTATGATTTCATTAACTTCAAACTTCTGGAAAATGAACCAGTTCTAAATGAATAAAATCAAATTTTGAGAGAAAAAAAATCCCGATTTCGGATTAGTAATCTCACTTAATTAATACAATTTTTTAAATTAATATCTTGAAAATTTAAGCGGGAATAAGTGACAGGATTTACGAGTAACGAAACTGAAATTTTCAATTCCTAAAACAAAATTCCTTTAGATTATGATTTCATTAACATCAAACTTCAAGAAAATTGGCCAATTTTAAATGAATAAGATAAAATTTTGAGAAAAAAAAATCCCAATTTCGGATTAGTAATTATTTGACTTCATTAATTCAATTTTTGAAGTTAATATGTTGAAAATTTAAGCGGGAATAAGTAATGGGATTTTCGAGTAACAAAGTTGAAATTTTCAATTCCTATAACAAAATTCCAAGTTAATTAATTAATTACGACTCAAAATTTTGGTACAATTAAATTTAAACTATTATTTCATTAACTTCAAACTTAAGGAAAATGAACCAGTTCTAAATGAATAAGATAAAATTTTGAGAGAAAAAAAATCCCGATTTCGGATTAGTAATCTCACTTAATTAATACAATTTTTGAAATTAATATCTTGAAAATTTAAGCGGGAATAAGTAACAGGATTTACGAGTAACGAAACTGAAATTTTCAATTCCTAAAATAAAATTCCTTTAGATTATGATTTCATTAACATCAAACTTCAAGAAAATTGGCCGATTTTAAATGAATATGATAAAAATTTGAGAAAAAAAAACCATTTTCGGATTATTAATTTGACTTAATTAGCTTAAAATTTTAAGTTAACTAATAAAATTTTTAAACCAGAATAGGATTTTCGAGTTATTAAGTTAAAATTTTATAATTCTTAAAACAAAATTCCAAGTTAATAAATAAATTAATTAATAATCGCTTTTGGTATGAATAAATTGAAAATATGACTTAATTAACTCTAAACTTCAGGAAAATTTGACAGAGTTTCATTAACTGAATAAGATAAAATTTTGAGATAAAAAATTCTAATTTCCCATTAATAATAATAATTTGATTTAATTAACTTATAATTTCTAGATAACTAATCAAAATTTGAAGCTAATATTTCAAAATTTAAACCAGAATAAGTTGTGCGAATTTCGAGTAACCAAGTTGAAATTTTCAATTCCTAAAAAAGAATTCCGAGTTAATTAATTAATGAAATAATTACGAGTCAAAATTTTGGCACAATTAAATTTAAACTATGATAATTTCAAATTTCAAGAAAATTTGCCAGTTTTAAACGAATAAGATAAAATTTTGAGAGAAAAAAAATTCTCAATTCGGATTATTAATTTGACTTAATTAGCTTAAAATTTTTAGTTAACTAAAAAATTTTAAACCAGAATAAGTAATAGGATTTTCGAGTTACTAAGTTAAAATTTTACAATTTTTAAAACAAAATTCCAAGTTAAAATAAATTAATGAATTAATAGTCGTTTTTGGTATGAATAAATTGAAACTATGAATTAATTAACTTTAAACTTCAGGAAAATTAGACAGAGTTTTATTAAATGAATAAGATAAAATTTTGAGATAAAAAAAATTCTAATTTCGGATTAATAATAATAATTTGATTTAATTAGCTTATAATTTCTAGATAACTAATCAAAATTTGAAGCTAATACTTTCGAAATTTAAACCAGAATAAGTAGTGGCATTTACGAGTAACTAAGTCGATATTTTCAATCCTAAAACAAAATTCCAAGTTAATTAATTAATTAAATAATTATGAGTCAAAATTTTAGTACAATTAATTTTAAACTATGATAACTTCAAACTCCAAGAAAATTAGCCAGTTTTAAATGAATAAGATAAAATTTTGAGAGAAAAAAATTCTAATTTCGGATTAACAATTTGATTTAATTAGCTTAAAATTTTCAGTTAACTAATAAAAATTTTAAACCAGAATAAGTAATAGGATTTTCGAGTTACTAAGTTAAAATTTTATAATTCTTAAAACAAAATTCCAAGTTAATAAATTAATTAATTAATAGTCGCTTTTGGTATGAATAAATTGAAACTATGACTTAATTAACTTTAAACTTCAGCAAAATTAGACAGAGTTCTATTAAATGAACAAGATAAAATTTTGAGATAAAAAAATTCTAATTTCGGATTAATAATAATAATTTGATTTAATTAACTTATAATTTCTAGATAACTAATCAAAATTTGAAGCTAATCCTTTCAAAATTTAAACCAGAATAAGTAATGGGATTTTCAATTAACAAAATTGAAATTTTCGATTCCTAAAATATAATTCAAAGTTAATTAAACAATCAAGAGTTAAAATTTTAGAATAATTAAATTGAAACTCTTAATTAACTTCAGACTTCAGCAAAATTGGTCAGTTTTAAACGAATAAGATATAATTTGTGAAAAAATCCTAATTTTGGATTAATAATTTCTCTTAATTAAGTCAAAATTTTTTAGCCAACTAATGAAAATGTGAAGTTAATACGTTGAAAATTTAAACCAGTAAGGCGAATTTCCATATGAGTTATTGAAATTTAGACACGAAAATTCAAAATTTCATGACAATTCCAAATTTTCAAACTAATTAACTTAAAATTTCGATCAAGTAGATCGAAATTTTAAGAGAAAGTTTCGAAATCGTAATCTATTAAATGGATATTTGGAGATAATTGAATCGAGGTTTTGTCGTACATAATTAGGTCAAATTCCGTAATCTTTTTTCTTTAAAATATCTGTAAATTTCTCAAACAAAATAAGTAGAAAATACGCAATAATAAGTCCGTAAAAGCAGACTTTTTAGTCACTAACAAATTGAGTTTTCAACTAATTCACTAGAGATTTCGAGACAAATTGTTAAGTCGAATTTCAAGTTAATTAATTAAAATGGAAATTTTAATGTATTAAATCGAAATTAGGAGATAAACGGAAGATCTATTTTTTATGGGGGTTATGAAACGTCGACAAAACATAAAAGTAGCCAGTCGTCCAACGGACTCGATTACAATACGTCTTCAGCTTACGCTCAGAACGTAAAAAATTCCCCGAAAAAAAAATCAATCAATCAATAAATAAATAGAACAATAAATATTTTTCACAAAAAATGGGTCCAGGAAAAAAGGATACAAAAATATTTACTAAAAACAGAAAACATGCCTAAAAAATTGCCGCAACAGACGAATCAAATTTTTTAACAAATTCTAATTAAAGAAACTTTTTATTACGAAAAAAAGTAGCACAAAAATATCTCCACCACATGTACCGAGTCTTGGACCGACTTCAAGAAGCCACGACGTTTTTATCACGCCATTAATCTAAACAATTTCATCGTTCGTGATGCCAACGTAACTGATAAGAAACTACACTCCTACGAGATTATAATTAGATTCCGTCTATTTATAACCAGTTCATTAAATTTTCACGACTCCATTAAATGCAAATTCATCACCTAATTACCTAAACCACTTTGTAAGCAACAAAGAAATCGCATAACATTACGTATTGTCATTTTTGAAGGTCACCTCAATAAACGAAAAAAATCCGCTAAAATACTTACTTTTCTTTTGACGACCTTCCTTTCCCTCTTTTTAATTTGCCTCCTCTGCGCCACCTCCTTAGCCGAATCCCGTCGCTGTCGCGCACTGCCCTTTGGATGATTGTCGCTTTTCCTCCTGTTGACGATATTCGGCCTCTTACTCACGATATTGTTATTATGACCTAGAAAATTAGCTTGAGTGGTGTATCTTTCGACCGGCGACGAACAAACCTTGATGCTCCCCGTCCGACGTATCGGTATCGCTCAAGGTCTCCTTATGCTTAAACACCTCCTTCAACTTCGTGTCTTTCCTCAACTTGGGATCTGCAAACTGTCTTTCTCTTAGCCATTGCTGTTGCATATGCCTAGCCTTTTGCCGGTCAATATGTTTATGTGGATCACAAACCTCGCACAAGTATTCTTCAGGAACTTGCTTATTCTTAACAACACACTGTACATGCTGCCATACCTTGCAGCGATCGCACTCTATCATATAACCGTCGTCGTGAATAAAACCGCTGAAAATCGAGGGTTAGAACGATTTTGTGTGGTTGCTCGCTACGTACCAAATGCACCGTGTGACGTAATCGCCGAACTGGTCTTCGTTATTGACGGCCTCCGCCTCCGGCGCCGTGTCCGTCTCCTCGCCCTCGGTGTCCTGTTTGCGGTCGGAGCCGTCGCTGATGTCGGAGGCGGCGTCGTCGTCTTGCAGCCCGATCGAGTTGCTGTTGCTCGCCACCGCCGACAGCGTCGATAAACTCGTCGACGAAGAAATCGGATTGGAAGTTGAAAGCGATCGCCCTGAAAAACGTACGAACGACAGTGGTGAAATACCGTCCGGAGGCGGCGGGACGCACTTTTACCACTACCGGGGGAGTACATGGAGCTGCCCGAGACGCCATTTAGCTGAGACGGAGTGTTCGGCGTCGGGATTGATCGAGTCGGAGATTCAGGCGGAAGAGTGGCATTGTAGTTGTGATCGAGGAGGACCGCTTGGTAGATGAGATCGAGGCCGGATTTGTTGCGTTCTTCCATCGGCTTTGCTTGCTCGCTGGAACTAATCAAAAATCGATGACAATATTTTTACCGGACGACTTATTTTAATAACTACGGTATGTCATAGCGACTGGTCAATAATTAATATAAACAAGGAGCAATCAATAACAATTACTTATGTATGTAATGTAATCAAGTGAATTACTTACAAAGTGGGTTTCATTTCAGGCGGATAGTACGCGTTTTCGTATCTCGGGGGTAAGCTTTCGAAGCTCTTGCTCGAAAACGAGCTGGTCATGTTGCTTTTGTTGCTCAGAGTTTCTATAATTTCAGCGGTCAGAGCTTGGTTGAAAGTCATCTGCTTCTCCTGAACGGGAGCGCTGTGGTAGCTGTTGTACATCTGATTCGGTTTCATGCTCTTCAACTTATGGGGCTGTTTCAACTTCTGGGCTTGTACGGCATGCTTCCCTATGTAATTCGGCTTGTTTGGAATTTTCTGCGGCCTCTGTGGAGGAATCGTCCGCAACCCGGAGCCAGTTCTTTGAACTTGACCCGGTATCCCCTTCGGATGTGGAGGTAAAGTTTTAATGCCTGGTGCTTTCCCGTGCAAATAATTATTAACAGGCGGAAGGGTCTTTATTTGACTTTTGTGAGTCGGATAGAGGACTCTTTGTGAGGGCTGCTGTTTGTTTATCATGTTAACCGGCTGCTTATTCACTACATTATTAGGGGGTTTGTTTAAATATTTTGTTGTAGCGCCATTATTTGCTCCGAGGATTTTTTGCCGGGATACGTAACGCTGGGGGACGTTGGAAGGTTTATTCAACAAAATATTGCCGCCCCCGGCCGAAGTACCCGGCATTAAAACGTTGTTCAAAATCTTTACTTTGTTTCGCTGGCCGTTGACTGTTTTTTGCGCACTCACGTCGTTCACGTTAATTGCTGTCGTCAGTACCTGGAGAAAAAACGCCAAGTCAAACGCGACGAATGCACAATTTTTGATTCGATTGCAACAGAAAACGCGAAATCGCAAAAAAAAAGTGTTTTCACTTTTACCATACGGTGGTATACCAGGTGGCAAGCTCTTAACAATCAACTGGTGTGTCTGGGAAAAATTGTATTTTTTTTTTAATTTTAAAATTGGTTCTTGATAAAATTCCATTTGACAATTTTAAAATGTTCGCAATTAATTAATTAATGGTGTATTATTTTGGGAGACTTTGGTGTTTTATTTTTGGAAAATTCTGACCTGATCTGTTTTTGAGTCAATTTTGGCACCCCGTTTTTTTTTTTTTTTTGTTTTTTAAATTTAAAACAATCTTCAGGTTCTAGGTATTCCTGCTTGGAAAGAATTCGTCTCAAGTTTAAACTTTAATGTCATTATAAATTTACTTCCAAAATGAGCTTTAATGGGTGTTCAGTTTTTCAATTATTCAATTTTTCGGGTTATTGATTTTTCAATTTTTCGATTTTTTTAGTTTTTGGTTTTTTGACTTCGATTTTTTCATTTTTGACCTTTCTAAATTTTCGATTATTCGATTCCTCAGCTTCTTGGTTTCGATTTTTCGACTTTTCAATTTCTCTATTTTCAAAATTTTCGATGTTTCAGTTTTGGGATTTCTCAATTTTTCTTCAATTTTGCAATTTTTAGATTTTTTTATTTGTCAATTTTGCGATTATTTGATTTTTCAACTCCTCGACAATTCTATATTTCAATTTTTCGATTTTTAAAATTTTGTATTTAATTTCAGTTTACTGATTTTTCAATTTCACGCGATGAAACCTTTTTTGAAATTTCGGTTTTTTGATTTTTAAAAACTTTCGATTTTTGTAGTTCTCGATTTTCAAGTTTTGGTTTTTTCAATTTTTCGATATTTTATAGCTTTGATTTTTAATCATCGAATCTTCAATTTACTTCAAAGCTCGATTTTAATACGTCGGAACCACGATTTATAAATCGCAAATTTTGCTTTTTGTCCTGAATCTTCAAAATTAATCTCGAATCGCTTAAATTTTGGAACTTCAGTATTAATATCAAAGCTCCAAATTTGAAGTACTAATTTACGTCTTTCTCAGTCTTGAATTTTCAATATTAATTTCAAAGTTGCGCTTTAAAAATTCGAAGCTTCGATTTTTCAAGTTAGAAAGCTTGCTTTTGAAATCAAAGTAATTATTCGTCTAGAAAAATGAGCTTTAATGTGTGGTAGTTTTATAAGATTTATAAACCGAAAATTTTGTTTCTGTTCCCTGAATCTTGAAATTTCAGTATTAATTTCAATAGTAATCTACGTCTTTGTAACTACCGAACTTTCAACATTAATTTCAAAGCTAGATTTTAAATATTCGAAGCTTTCTTCGAAGCCTTGATTCTAAAAGCTGCGTAATTATTCGTCTCGAAGTTTAAAATGTCGAAACATTAATGCCACTTAGGGCTTTTATATCTCGTAATTAGTTTCAAAAATGAGCTCTAATACGATTTATTAATTGGAAGTTTTTATCTACTTCCTAAATCTTCAGAACTAATCTCGAACGCCTTAAATTTGCAAATTTTTATAATAATTTCAAAGTTGGTTGGGTTTTAAAAATCCGAAGCTTTCATTTTTTAGAGTAATCAACCTTGGTTCTTAAAGCTGTGTAATTATTCGTCTCAAGCTTAAAATTTCGAAACTTTAATGTCATTTTAAAAGCTTTCAAATCTCTCTTTTAGAGGATATGTCATTTGCCAAAATCAGTTTTATCTTGGTAAGTACTAAACTGATGATTAACTTCTACAAAAAATGAAATGACGAAAATCTGAAAGTTCTAAAGATAATAGAAATTAAAAATTCCATACAACAGAAATTTCTAATTGTAAATACTAAAGAAATTATAAACTCTAAACTTTATAAAACTCCTATTGTAATTTTCGAAGCTTTCCTAGAACTTGGAAGCCTTGATACTAAAAGCTGCGTAATTATTCGTCTCGAAGTTTAAAATTTCGAAATATTAATGCCATTGTAGAGCTTTTAAATCTCGTAATTGGTTTCAAAAATGAGCTCTAATACGATTTATTAATTAAAAGTTTTTATCTACTTTCTAAATCTTCAGAACTAATCTCGAACGCCTCAAATTTTGAAATTTTTGTAATAATTTCAAAGCTCCAATTTCAGGCCTGAAGCTCGAGTACTCAATTGCGTCTTTCTAATTCTCGAATTTTCAACATTAATTTCAAAGTTGGATTATAAAAATCCGAAGCTTTCAATTTTTAAAGTAATAAAACACTTAATTAGCTTAAAATTTCGAAACTTTAATGTCATTTTAAAAGCTTTCGAATCTCTCTTTTAGAGGATATGTCATTTGCCAAAATCAGTTTTATCTTGGCAGGTACTAGCCCCACCCACCCACCCTCTCTTTTCTTAGAAGATATGTCATCTGCCAAAAACAGTTTTATCTTAGTAAGTACTAAACTGATGATTAACTTCTACAAAAAATGAAATGACGAAAATCTGAAAGTTCTAAAGATAATAGAAATTCTAGTGATTCTTAAGATTCTAGAGATTCTAAAGATTCCAAAATTTCCAGTGGTTTTCAGATTCAAAAGGTTTAACAGCTTTCAAACATCGTAAAGATTCGAGACTTTCTAAAGAAGTTAAAAATTCCATACAACAGAAATTTCTAATTGTAAATACTAAAGAAATTATAAACTCTAGACTTCATAAAACTCCTATTGTAATTTTCGAAGCTTTTCTAGAACTTGGAAGCCTTGATACTAAAAGCTGCGTAATTATTCGTCTCGAAGTTTAAAATTTCGAAATATTAATGCCATTGTAGAGCTTTTAAATCTCGTAATTGGTTTCAAAAATGAGCTCTAATACGATTTATTAATTAAAAGTTTTTATCTACTTTCTAAATCTTCAGAACTAATCTCGAACGCCTCAAATTTTGAAATTTTTATAATAATTTCAAAGCTCCAATTTCAGGCCTGAAGCTCGAGTACTCAATTACGTCTTTCTAATTCTCGAATTTTCAACATTAATTTCAAAGTTGGATTATAAAAATTCGAAGCTTTCATTTTTTAAAGTAATAAACCTTGGTTCTTAAAGCTGTGTAATTATTCGTCTCAAGCTTAAAATTTCAAAACTTTAATGTAATTTTAAAAGCTTTCGAAACTCTCTTTTAGAGGATATGTCATTTGCCAAAATCAGTTTTATCTTAGCAGGCACTAGCCCCACCCACCCACCCTCTCTTTTCTTAGAAGATATGTCATCTGCCAAAATCAGTTTTATCTTAGTAAGTACTAAACTAATGATTAACTTCTACAAAAAATGAAATGACGAAAACCTGAAAGTTCTAAAGATAATAGAAATTCTAGTGATTCTTAAGATTCTAGAGATTCTAAAGATTCCAAAATTTCCAGTGGTTTTCAAAGATTCAAAAGGTTTAAAAGCTTTCAAACATCGTAAAGATTCGAGACTTTCTAAAGAAGTTAAAAATTCCATACAACAGAAATTTCTAATTGTAAATACTAAAGAAATTATAAACTCTAAACTTTATCAAACTCCTATTGTAATTTTCGAAGCTTTCCTAGAACTTGGAAGCCTTGATACTAAAAGCTGCGTGATTATTCGTCTCGAAGTTTAAAATTTCGAAATATTAATGCCATTGTAGAGCTTTTCAATCTCGTAATTGGTTTCAAAAATGAGCTCTAATACGATTTATTTCTTAAAAGTTTTTATCTACTTTCTAAATCTTCAGAACTAATCTCGAACGCCTCAAATTTTGAAATTTTTATAATAATTTCAAAGCTCCAATTTCAGGCCTGAAGCTCGAGTACTCAATTACGTCTTTCTAATTCTCGAATTTTCAACATAAATTTCAAAGTTGGATTATAAAAATTCGAAGCTTTCATTTTTTAGAGTACTAAACCTTGATTCTTAAAGCTGTGTAATTATTCGTGTTGAAGCTTAAAATTTCGAAACTTTAATGTCATTTTAAAGCTTTCAAATCTGTCTTTTAGAGGATATGTCATTTGCCAAAATCAGTTTTATCTTAGCAAGTTACCAAAATTTCCAATGCTTTTGAAAGATTCAAAAGGTTTAAAAGCTTTCAAACATCGTAAAGATTCGAGACTTTCTAAAGAAGTTAAAAATTCCATACAACAGAAATTTTTTTACTAATGAAATTGTAAAAATTCTAAACTTTATAAAAATCCTATAGTAATTCTGAGTGTCCAAGATTCCCAAAAAATGGAAAGACTCTAAAGACTCTGGATTCTAAAGAGTATAAAGACGAAAAACTCTAAATACCCTAGACTCTAACATTCTAAAAATTTTAAACCCTCTGAACAGTCTAAAAATTTTAAAAATTCTGAAGTCAAATATTAAAAGATAATTTAAAACTGTTTTAAATGTTTCAAAAATTCTAAAGATTTCAGAGAAACTCCAAAAATCTAAGAATTCTAAAACTTGTAAAAACTCTGAAAATGCAACATTTTTGCAGGATTTTCAGTTTTGATTAAAAATTTTTTAGTTTTTCATTTCCTTCTTTAGGGTTTTTAGTTATTTCTTTTTTCCAATGTTCTGATTTTCTATTTTTCCTTTTTTTAAAGTGACATTTTTCAACTTTTGAATTTTAATTTTTGGTTTTTTCAGTTTGAGATTTTTTAGTTCCTCGATTTTTCCATTTTTCGTTTCATCAATATTTTATTTGCAATTTTTCATATTTTTTTATTTCGTTAATTTTACGTTTACGATGAGCATCTTTTCGATTTTTCATTATTAAATTTTTCAGTTTTCCGATTTTCCAACTTTTGGATGTTCGATTTTTAAATTGTCCAATTTGTTATTTCTTCAATGTTTCGATTTGCAATTTTTCGTTTCGCTTTTTTATCTTCATTTTTTTATTTTTTCATTTTTTTTTTGATGTTCCAATTTTCTAATTGTCCTCTTTTTCATGTGGAAATTTTCAATTTTTGGATTTTTCAATTTTTCTATATTTAATAATTTTTCAGTTTTCGATCTTTCAGTGTTACAAGTTTGCGACCATTCTATAGATTTTCAATTTTACAATTATTGAGATTTTTGGTTTTTCAGTCTCGATTTTTCGTTTTTTCAGTTCTTCAATTTGTATTTTTTTATTTTCCTCTTTTTCGATTGTGCAATTTTCGATTTTTGAATTTTTTCCAATTTTTTAATTTTTCGGTTTTTCAAATGTTCGAATGAAAAAAATATGGAAAAATTGCAGAATTGTAAGATTGAAAAATCTAAACTGCGAAAACGAAAATTGCAAATTGGAAAATTAAAAACTGGAAAATCGAGGAATTGAAAAACAAAGATTTAAAATTTGAACAATCGAATAAACCACAAATGATAAAATTGAAAGACACTTTGGAAAATAAATAAAATAAGAAAAACGAAAAATTGTGATATAAAATCCACAAAATGTAATTTAAAAAAATCGGGAAAATGAAAATTAAGACTGAGAACTTAAATATTAACTCTGAAAATGCCAAAGATTTCAAATATTCTAAAAACTGTATATAAAAAAGCATAAATCCTAAATCCTAATTCTGAAAATATGTAGTAAAGATCTGAAGAATGTTTTCTTTAATTTCTATAGATCCTCAAAGTACTAGAGGTCTTGAAAACGCTAATTATTATCTTATAAATCTTAAAGCGGGAAAAATGTGGTATGTTTAGAAATCTTGAAAAATTTGGAAAAGGTTAAATTTCAAAATTCTGGCACAATTGAAGCCTTATAATTTTAGAAATTTTGTAAAATCTGGAAGTTCTGGGCATGTTATGTATTCTTGAAAACCTTAAAATTCGGGCTAATCTGGAAATTTTGAAAATTGCGCAAATTAAAAAAAGAAACAAAAATTAAAAAAAAATTTTAGAAAATCTTAAAATTTTACGAGCTTACTTATATGCTTTTGTTGGTTGTTTTTATTTATAATTTATAAATGCCTTATTAAATGTTTTTTTGGTTTATTTATTAATCAAAAATTGTTTTATTAATAATAATGCACAAAAAATCGTTACTACAAGATTCAGAGCAGTTGTGAATATCAAAAGTAGCCAAAATAGCTATTTATTTGCGCTAAAAAGGTAAAGAAAAGCTAGGACTTTTCGTGCAATTTTAATTATTAAAAATGTATTTAAAAAAATAACAAAATAGACATTAAACTCTGTAAAATAAGAATATTCTACAATTATTTTAAATATTAATTTAATCAAGTTCTCTTCTTTTGCTTAAAAAACTAATTAAATCACCCTTTCTTTTTTGGGTTAGGTATTTTGCTTTCAAAGCATCAGGCAATAATTTATTGCCTTTAGCACAGTTTTTTGTTATTTACAATTTTTAAATTATTTTCTGTAACATGAGTGTCGATTTTATTTAAATAAAAGAAATAATTCATGATTTATTCGAAAAAGTAGGAAAAGCCAGAGCTTGTCAAAGTTTAGTGCTGAATAGCTAAATATTACGAAAAAAGCTAATCCGTCATTTTCCAGACACTCGGTATAGTCTTAATTTGTGTCACTTAACTTTATCTTAAATTTTGTCACTTAACTTTATTAATTTCTATTTTTCATAGAACATGGTAGAAAAGATTTTAAATTATTTTATAAATACACTCAAGATTTAATTTAATACATGGATTTTAATATAGTACACGTAACAGCTTCAAGTATAAATTATAGGGGAGTAAATATTAACAAAATCTTTCATTTCGTGATATAATTTCATTTTATTGTCAAAAAAAAATCTGATGTTTTTAATGTTCGCAAAAATGGTAAAAATTCTCACTCAATTTTTCCAAATCACACCAGTGACACCAGAATTAATTTTCTCTTTGTAACCAATCAACAATTTTAACATATCATGTTTGAAAAAAAATATATATCCAAAAGTGAAAATCTCGTTCCTGCCGCCCCAACTTACGTTATTCGTGGGAAAATTGTTGGCCGTGAGCAGCTTGTGCCCCTGGGGCACGTCCTGGCTCGCGCCCTCCGAGCACGCCGTATTTTTAACGAACACGTTGTGTCCCCTGTTCTCGATGAGCGCCGGCACCGCCGCCGCCGCGCTGTTCGGCACGACGTCGGCGGCGCTCTTCTCGACGCTCGGCGAGATGGTCTTGACCACCGTCACTGGGGTATTGATCAGCGTGATGGTTTGCGGTTTGACCGTGGAGTTGGCCACGTTGAGAGGAGTCGCCGAATTCACGACGGTAAACTGGCCGGTGGCGTTCGAGGAGACCGCCGGCGTCACGCATAATGTCTTCACGTTCCCCAAGGGGGTGTTCAACACGGTAATTAAGGAGGCTTTCGACAGGGCGGCGTTCGCGCTGGAAGGAAGCTTCGCTATGGTTCTCACTGAGGGCGCGGGCTGCGGAGCTTCTGGTTGGTCGGTGGAAGTCGGGGCGATGGAGGCGTCATCGCTGATCGGAGTGGCCGTCGATGTGCTCACCTGGTTGGCGAGCACGGAGCTGGTTTCTGGAAAGGGGCGAGTTGAGAAAACGACCAAGTGGAAGGGAATTCAACGTACCTAAACATACACTCATGGTTTCTTCCTGGGAATCACGAGTAAGTCCATCGTGGGTGGGCACTGGTACAACGGTGATGTCCCCGCCACCACCCTCTAAAACTACCTCCGCCTCCAGATCAGCAGAACGAGGCAAGAAATCCACTGCGAAAAACACAAAAATTATTTTCTAGAGTTGTTTATGCTCATTTATTTATCTTCTACTTTAGTGACGACGGACGATAAATAAACTGTTTACGTCAGATGAAGGTAAGAAAATTCAGGTTAAGTTAATTACTTTCTAGCTACGTTTTTAAAAATATCACGTTGTAGACGCTTCATAGTACAATTTTATTTTCTGTGAAAGTTCTACCTACTTGAAAATATCGAATATTAATATTGAAGCAATATTAATTTTTAAATTAATTTATTTAAGTTTCTATATACAACTGAAAAATTTAAATTTATTGTTATGAAAGTACAAATCATTTAAGTCGAATCTCCACGAATATATTTTTGAAAATCGGAGAAACATTGTACGACTTAAATCATAACTGTATCAATTCAATAATTATCACAGATCCTAAGATATCTACTAGAAAAAGGTTTTATCAGGGATTAAGATTCTGATGTGCATTTTTTTATTTTTATTTTATATATAAACACATTTTTTTGTTATCACAATTAAGCTGCTTTTTATGGAAGAAACATAACTCATAAGTGCATGAAAAATTACGAAAGTTATAAATTCTCTGACGAAATAACAAAATTCCTGATACTGAAAGACTGCCATGAATTTCGGACTGACAAAAATTTTAGCTTTCGTACAGCTGGTGGTCAAACTTTTTGAATCACTGTGTATCTTTTGGCGGCAAGCTAAACTCGTCCATAAACAACTTTGTTTACAAATAAAACAAACTAACCACAAAAAAACGATTCGTATCTTCACTCGTCGCATTTATCCGCATCTTAACTTCGCCGCCACTCCCCAGTTCCGTATTTGTTTAATTTACCCAAAAATAGCTCTAAATCCGTGTAAAAACTGCTAAAAACACAACCACAACAACAAAAAACCAAAGTAGGTTATGTTTACAAGTGTCGATTTTTTCCGAGCGGAGCAAAAGTCCCTAAATCGTGTCAACCATTTTGCATCGACTAATAAATAGTAGAAAAAAACGGGAGCGTCTGAAAGAAGACGAATCCTCGACGTTACTTGTTTGAATATGAATGCATCGAATACGTTTCAAAACGTTCAAATAGCACTAAAAACATTTGTTCTTCGACGGCGGCGTGAATATGACGAGGTCGCGCATGAGCGTTGAGTCGAGGGGCCCCTGAAAGGAGCAAAAGAACCGCATTGCAACGCATCTCGGAAATCCTTTCGTAGTCTAAAAGTCGTAATCGATTCCATGTGGGCGTGAGCTTCTTCGCAACGATTATTTCGAAGAGGATTTCTTAGGCGAGGATTTTCGGCGATCCGGGAAGTATTTGATTGACATCGACGACTGCGTCGCATATTACGTAACGAACGCATTTTCCCGAAAAGTGCATTTCCTGCGACCCAAATACGTGAATCGGCCTACGTGAGCCCCACAAACTCGAAAATGGGACGCCGCAATCCGACTAGAATAAAAATTCACGTAATAAAACGTTTATTTATTTAATCAGATAAATAGGAAGCCGCTACGAGCCGTCCTGAATATGTCGGGCAAATCGCAATTACTGCAATAATCAATTCAAATGACGGTAATGTTCGGCAAAATAGCGGTCAGAAAACAATCACATCAGAGTGTCTCGCACCTGATTCTTTTTTTTATTTAACGCACGAAACTGCCGTCGACGGATTATGTCGTATTTTTAGTTACGAATGACATATATGGCACACGGAATTGGGGAAAAATATCCAAACGTGCTCCTCGACGCACGTTTTCCGAAAATTCGACGCTTTCCCGGATTAAAGCCCGTCAACGCAGCCACCACGGAACTCCGACGAAGATGCCAGAAACGTAAGGCGACGTTTCCGCGACATAATGAATCGAAAGCGGCGAAAAAAAGCACGGTTTTGCATCGAAACGAAACACAGCCTCCCCGGGACACTAATCTACCAGAAGCAGCAGCAAAAATCGTCTAAAATTACCTTAAACTGTTAGAAATTGCACACAACTCCAAGATAGTCGATGTAAACACAAGCATTTTAACTTAAAAACAACACGGCAGCAATTTTTAAAACGTCCATTGGAATTTTAACACATCCCGCTGTCTTATTAGACGAACACAACCTTAATTTGCTATAATTTTATGTAGAATTTATCACAAATTCTGATACGCTTTTGAAAACAGACATCTAAACTAAATATGGCAGCCATATTCAATGCAAAACAAAGGAAATATAGCTACGAAACCTACTCGATAATCTCGGACCCACATCCGCTTTCCGGCGCGCGCGCTGCCAACTGACGCGGCGCCAAACACGAAATCCCCAATAACACACATTCAAATAAACAACTGGATTTATTTCTAATCACTCTATTTTCACAGATTTAACTTTAGCCGGTCTTTGGGGGCTTAGCGGGAGGCCAGACCCACTGGTTCGCCGGCGCTTCTTTAAGTAGGGGCTCCCACGGCTTCCAAGTCAACATCTTTCTAGCCAAAATCAACTCGTTTTCAGCTTGCACTATCAACTCCTCAACTTGACCACACTTAATCTGTTTCTCGACCCCTTCAACGCTGGAATTACGTTTCAGGACTTCAGCTCTCTCACAAATTATCTCTTCAGTGTATTTTCGATAGGCTGCCTCTTCAGGCATTTTTTGCAACGTCCTGAGAATTTTACCATACAAAACACCCAGGGTGTGGTGCGGGTGCTTCGCTACCGCAAGCCCCGTCAACCCAGTTGTTTTCTTAATAGCACCCGCCATGGTATTGTTTTTACGTAATTCTGAATTCTGCTAACAAAATTGAGGTTATGTCGCCACAGTGCTACCACCACACGAAAACTCCCTTCAAATTTGAACAAATAAAAACATTTTTATTTTTAATTGTACAAAATATACAACGCTCGACAATAAAAATAATAAAATTACTTCCTCAAGTAGTTATCCGTGCTCGTGGAAGCATTCTCTTTGGTAACCCAACTCTCCTCCCAGAACACTCTCAACCTATCATTAACATTCCCACAGAACTCTCTAAAATCTTTCAAAAGCTTCGTCTGGAAGTTGTTATCGACCCCTTGGTTGGTACGCCAGCGTCTACTAACCATGTGGTTCCACGACCACAAGAAACCCATCTACAAACACACAGTTAACAAACTGAAACCACTCAAGCCAGTTTTACTTTTCTAGAATTGTCATAGTCGTCCTTGTTTTTGCCGCTTACGTGTCGCGTTATGTACGCTTCGTGGGGGCTGGGGACGACGTCCGCGTGCACGGAAAACCTCCCCGTGGAGCGATTTTTGCTCCCGACTGACGGGACGCGACTTCTGGGTTTGACAGCCGGGCGAGAAATCAACACAAAGACAGTCCCTGTGCAATGAACATACTGGTGTTCGCGGGACGTCGCGTCGGGGTTATTAGGGGGCTCCAGCATGCAATTGATGAAACCAAAGCGCTGAACTATGGCTTCTTGTAGCAGGAACAGTCGTTCCAAATAGGTGTTGTCTTTGAATTCTACAAGACATTTTTGGTTACTATTGTCGTGCTACTGTTGGCAAAATTGCCTTTAAAAATTCTGTCTCTTTCCTCGAGACACTTGATGTTAAGCGGGACGAAAATGGGGCCTCTTAAGGGGTCGCTTTTGTTGGAGTAGGGGAGGGCTAGAGGGTCGTGCGGGATGGGGATCATTTGTAGGCCGCACGTTTGTGCTTTACGGTGCCAACTTGACAGCTAAAAAGTCACAAGTTACTTTAAGTCACACAGAGTTAAGTTTTTACAAGTTCTGCTACAATAGAGCCAGAGGATGTTAGCCATTCCACGATTAGTTCATAGGCTTGGTCTGGCATGAAAGTGGTTTGGTAGCGCACGTGCCCCCATTCCACCCTGTCGCTTTTACTAGCTACATCAGTCTCCAGACGCATCCGTTTATAAATAACACCTAGAAAATTATTTGTAGCCTAAAATTTCTCCAAATTTTACAACGCACTGTCTATCTCTGCATACTCCACGTTAATATCTTCACACAAAAAGTGCGGAACTCCGTACTTCCTATCACAGTAAGTATTAGGTACATCTAACCCCGTTGAAACGACCGACAACCCCCAATTGAGGGCCGACTTCACCTCAACCTCAAGCCACTCGTTTTCAAAAATTTGAAAATCGCCACAAGGCTGAAAACTGTCTTTATCATCTAAAACACACTCATTAGTGTTTATTTATTTCAAAAACAACTCAACCTTTATCAATAATGTAGAACAAAAAAAATCCAAACAGAAACGGTTTATTGGGGTCACCTGAAGCGTGTCGGATTAAATTTTCCGAGTGCAAACTTTGCATAATCTATAGAACAATATATTAGAAACAACCTACCACACCCCACTGACTTAAGTATACCTGGACTGCTTTCTCCACAGTCGTTACCCCTTCCATCCTCAACATCAACCAATTAATCGCATCCGCAGCTATAAACGTCGAACATGGAAGATTCTGCTGTGCGCAGATAAACATGAGACCGCTCAACGGGTTCTTCATCGCTTCCACGATCTCAGGATTCGTGGCTGCGTTTTTCAAGCACGGCCCCGATTGGATCGTGCTTTAAAAAAACAATCATTTACTCGCTTAACAGTGCGTTTTGACCTACTTTTCGTCTGGGTAGGAATCGTGGGACTGCGATTCCGAACTCGACTGCGACTCGGAGCTCTGCGACGTCCTGTTCCTTTCCATGACCTTGGAGCCGGACCTGTTCCGAAACTAGTGGTCAGAATTTGGCCCGACACTCGCGTCGGTGTTATTTGAAAGTCAAAGCAATTAAAATTGTTTTAAAATTACAAACCTAAATGTGGGTGCATTATATCGCTCGTTCGAGCGTGCGGTAGTGTTCTGAAAAGCAAGCAAACCTATAACCTCCTACAAAACAACAGAACATACAAAAGGAGGGACGTGAGTTATAAAATGGGAACTGAGAACTACACATGCTCCATTTCCGCAAACCAAGCTGTAAAATGAGTGTTAGCGAACCTAGGCCGAGGGCGGTCGGAGAGGCGGTTGCTTCCAAGGCGCTCTCGGAACGGGGAGCTGCAGTTGACGTTCTGCGAACAGTCGGGAGAAATATAACAGTGCTTGGCAATGGTATCGATAACTTGATTATTGCCCCTGAATGTCAATTTAGTCAAGTACAATAATCAACCACAATGTAGAAAAGACGAAACTGGACAGACTTTACTCTTATAAGAATCCTGTTATTGGCGATAATGCAAAGTATCCTTACTCACGCGTTGTTAATGTAAGAAAGTTAAGTAAGCTTAAATCGACAGCTACTACGAAAAATTAAGTCGAACTACTACTAATACTTGGTCTGAATGGTGTGTACAGAGCAAAAAAACAAAAACGATCATAACACACTCTAAATAAAAATAAAAAGCCGACGTTATGATTTTTCTAAACTACGAATCAGTGTCGGATTGAGGACGTGGGTGTTATTATTACTATTATTATTTTCAGTTTCGCCAACGACATTAGGAAAAATTATGTTGTTTTTGGAATTTTGATGACGCTACCAAGAACAAAACTAGAAAAAAAATCGTGCTTATTTAGACAGAACTTTCCTCGCTTTCGACAATGGTCCGATGAATTTCGCTTATTTAAAAAATTATAAAAATAGATTTTGCGATTTTCGTTTTGTGATAACTCCGCCCCTCGGTCTAGCAACGAATGAAAAATTCGTCACGACTGAGATCGAGACGGATGGGTGGGACTTCTCTTTTGGTTTTCTTTTTTAATTAATATATTTAGTTTTCTTTGTATAACACGATTAGTTAAAACATATTTCACATGGTAATTTCTCGTAGAAAAATAAGGATTTTGCAGTCAAGCTCCGCCCTTCGGCTTAAGACGAATAAAAAAATCATCAGAATTGAGACCGGGTGGGTGGGCGGGGCTTATATTTTGCCTTTTTTTCTTAACATACGTGGCTATTTTTTCACATGAAAGTTAAGACATGGTTAAAATGGTACACTTTCCCTTATGAATTTCTACTTATTTTATTTATCTATTTTGAGTAGATCATTAAAAATTTCAACCAATTAACTAGAATATAGATAAAATAATTTTGAAATTTAAAGATATTTTAAAGAAAATTTGTTTGAAAATTTAACTCCTCCTTGGAAAATTGGGAATAAATTATCTTGAAATTTTGAGTTTGAACGTCTAAATTTCAACAGGTTATCTGGAAATTTCGCCTTATTGGTTTAAATTTTGAAAGCATTAATTGAAATTTTGTTTACTTATCTTACAATTTTAAGTTAATTAATACTAACTAATCCGAAACTAGGATGATTTCTTTCAAAATTTTATCGTATTCATGTTAAACTTGGCTAATTTTCACGAAGTTTAAGATTAATTAAGTCAGTTTAAATTTCAAATTAGTTACTTGAAAATCCTGAAGTTGAGTTAATTAAGCCAAATTACTAATCGAAAATTAGAATTTTTTCTATCAACATTTTATTTTATGCATTTAAAACAATCTAATTTTCTTGCAATTTAAAGTTAATTAAGTCATAGTTTGAATTCCAAAATCGACTTAATTAATTAGTACTTTTGATTTAGGAATTTAAAATTTCAAAAATCCCATCACTTATTCTGGTTTAAATTTTCTATATTAACGTCAAATCGATTAGATATCTTGAAATTTTAAGTTAATTTAAGTCAAATGACTACAATTTGACAATTTGAAATTAATTAATAATTAAATTCTCCCAAAATTTTATCGTATTCATTTAAAACTAGCTAGTTTTCTTGAAGCTTAAAGTTGATTACGTAATAGTTTCAATTTAATCATTGCAAAATTACGATTATTAATTAATTAACATGGAATTTGGATTTAGAAATTAAAAATTTCAACTTCATGACTCGAAAATCTTATTACTTATTTTGTTTTAAATATTCAGCGGATTAGATTTAAATTTTGATTAGTTACCTAGAAAATTTAAGTTAATTAAATCTTTTTTTTTCAGAGTTTTAAATTATTAATAGACGGGGCTTAAATTTTACCTTTTTTCTGACTATACGTAATCTTCTTTTCACGACAACATGTTTAATGATGTAAATTTTTGTCGGGAAACATCTATTTTACAATTATGGTCCTCCCCTTGTTTTGATTACGAATGAAAAATTAGTCGCAATTAAACATGTTCTAAGTTTCTTTTTCTCGAAATAACTCTACACATATAAAAAAAAACGGAAAAATGTAGCCCCGCCCACCCGCCCTATCTCAATTGTGATGATGTTTTTAATCGTCATAATCCACATTTCCTTACAAAAATTTACCGTTTGAAACGTATTTTAAGTTCTAAGAATAAAAAAAAAAAATCACAATTGAAACGGGGTGGGTGGGCGGGGTTGACATTTAGCCTTTTTTTCTTAATATACATTATATTCTTTGAACAATACGATACTCAAAACAGGTTTTAATTCCTTGTGTAACGTAATAAGTATTTTGCAGTTAAGCTCCGCCCTCTTGGTTCACGGCGAATAAAAAAAAATCATCACAATCGAGAGCGGGCGGGTGGGCGGGCATACATTTTGTCTTTTTGTTTTAACAACATTTGTAGACTTATTTTCACAACATGAAACTTAAAAATCTGTTTAAAAGGGAAAATTTCTATAAGGAAATATCGATTTTGCATTAGACTCCCCCCCATAATTGCAAAATCCACATTTCCTTGCAAAAAAGTACCATTGGCCATGTTTTAAGTTTCTTGTTGTGAAAAGATGGCTACCTATATTTAAAAAAAATGGCAAAATTTAAGCCCCACCCACCCACCCACCCGGTCTCAATCGTGATGAATTTTTCATTCGTTGTCAGACCGAGGGGCGTAAACTAATTGCAAAATCAATATTTTCCTATACAAATTTACTATTTCAAACATGTTTTAAGTTTCTTGTTGTGAAGGGATGGCTATGTTAAAAAAAAAATGGTAAAATATAAGCCCCGCCCACCCGCCCGGTCTCAATCGTGATGAATTATTCATTCGTTGTCACACCGAGGGGCGGAGCCTAATTGCAAAATCGATACTTTGGGCGGGGTTGATATTTAGCCTTTTTTTCTTAATATACATTGTATTCTTTGAACAATACGATACTCAAAAACAGGTTTTAATTCCTTGTGTAACGAAATAAGTATTTTGCAGTTAAGCTCCGCCCTCTTGGTTCACGGCGAATAAAAAAAATCATCACAATCGAGAGCGGGCGGGTGGGCGGGCATACATTTTGTCTTTTTGTTTTAACAACATTTGTAGACTTATTTTTACAACATGAAACTTCAAATATGTTTAAAATGGAAAATTTGTATACGGAAATATCGACTTTGTATTAGACTCCGCCCCATAATTGCACAATCCACATTTACTTGCAAAAATGTACCACTGGCAATGTTTTAAGTTTCTTGTTGTGAAAATATGGCTATCTATGTAAAGAAAAAAAAAGGTAAAATATAAGCCCCGCCCACCCACCCGGTCTCAATCGTGATGAATTTTTCATTCGTTGTCACACCGAGGGGCGGAGCCTAATTGCAAAATCGATACTTTGGGCGGGGTTGACATTTAGCCTTTTTTTCTTAATATACATTGTATTCTTTGAACAATACGATACTCAAAAACAGGTTTTAATTTCTTGTGTAACGTAATAAGTATTTTGCAGTTAAGCTCCGCCCTCTTGGTTCACGGCGAATAAAAAAAATCATCACAATCGAGAGCGGGCGGGTGGGCGGGCATACATCTTGTCTTTTTGTTTTAACAACATTTGTAGACTTATTTTCACAACATGAAACTTAAAAATCTGTTTAAAATGGAAAATTTCTATAAGGAAATATCAATTTTGCAATTAGGCTCCGCCCTATAATTGCAAAATCCACATTTCCTTGTACCACTGGCATGTTTTAAGTTTCTTGTTGTGAAAAGATGGCTATCTATGTTAAGAAAAAAAAGGTAAAATATAAGCCCCGCCCACCCGCCCGGTCTCAATCGTGACGAATTTTTCATTCGTTGTCAGACCCGAGGGGCGGAGAGTAACTGGAAAATCAATATTTTCCTATACAAATTTACTATTGCAAACATGTTTTAAGTTTCTTGCGAAAAGATGGCTATATATATTAAGAAAAAAAAGGCGAAAGATAAGCTTATTTTATAAAATTTAAATAATATTTACTAGTGTAAAATTTAACAACTGGTTGAGTAGTTTCCGAGATTATCTGTTTAATAAAAATCCGGACAGACGGTGGACAGACAGACAGACGGAAACGGGCGACAATCCGACACTGCTGCGACTCCATATCTACTGGTACGAAATACTCAAAAATCACACCTTCAATTCACAATTCGCATAATCAATTAAGTTAACCCAACATTATTTAAATAAAAATGTTGTGCCAACACTTCCTTACAATTATACCTGTGAAAAATTGCTCATACTGTTACGTCTGGGTTGAACCAAAGGCGCGTTGTTTATAACACTCAGTGACTTCTACAACATGCAAATAAAACAAGCTTTAACATGCAAGTAAGTAACTAAAATAAATAAAAAAATTAGTGTGTAGAAAGCAAGGACGAACACGACAGTAACACAAACCCTTGTTTTTTTCGACGGCAGCGTCCTCTTTATTTTATTAACGGCGGTTTCGATGAACTTCAACAACCCATCGACCATCTGCTGGTGGTCAGTCGGGGTCGCCGCGGTATAAATATCGCAGTGCTCCGCCCCGTCGATGATTTTTTTATTAGCCGTGTTGTTCAACGGAAGCAAATAGACCCGAAACCGCCAGTACTTCAACGCATCAACTAAAACAAACTCTGTATCACCGCCGGTGCAGACGTAGTGATCCAGGTAATTCCAGTTGAAGTGTTCGAGTTTTTCGGTGGTGAACGAAGCGTAGGACTCTTCGTAGGTGTCGTGGTGGGGGGCGTGGAACCTGTATCTGTATTGATAGTTGAAACCGGGGTACGGGTGCCTGGAAAACATCATGAGATTGGAACGACTCGGACAAAAAGTTACCTCGGTCGGTATCTAGTAACGGAAATCGTGTTCCCGGAGAGCGAGATTTTATGGAAGAGTCTCCCAATCGACAAATAGTAGGATTCGTCGCTTTCAGTTACGCTCGTGCGCACCACCGATGCTCTCATTTTCGGGTTTAAGACATTAATCCCGATTTTATCGGCGTTGTTCGCCATGAGAATCAACTGGAAACCTTGAGCTAAACGCTGAGAAATCAGTTCTTTGAAAACTTCGACCGTAGTTAGGGGTCGTTTAGACGTGGAGCGCAGCTGCGCAAAATCCGCGTTCACACTATCAGGGAGAAGACTATACAAAGACACCACGTAGTCTATCTGCAGAGCTCTCTTCTCCGGGAAATAGTCCGTCGTGATTGGTAGACAAGCCGGGATCGTCAGGGACTTCCAGTCCACTCCTATCAAAGCAACTGTTACAATTACCACCGCAGTAGTTACGAAAACATAAGCTTTATACGTGATGGCTGACACAAAACTAATTTGATTGTTTCTACTTTTAGTGCCGAAATGAATTTGCCGCTCACCCGACGCTTACTACACTCAAGCGATTTGATTGGTTAGCGTGAAACGTCAGTCTGACAGTTGTCAAATGTCGATTACAACGAAGCGCGGTGATTGGTTAGCGTTACGTCACGGTGATTATAATTTCGACGAGGCGGCAAACCATCACTTGTAGACACTCGCGACGCCTCTGACGTCACACGTATAAACCCCATGTTAAACGACAAGTGCAAAAGCAAACATTCGCGTGTTAGTAACAAGCGACTACGTTGGCAAACGTGTAAAGTTTCACTAATCACACTCCAAACCTTCTACTCTACAAAATCAATAATTAGAATGAATGTGCTGATGAAAAGGGTCAAACAATGGATTTTTATAGTCGATGAACAAAAAAATTATTCTGTTAATCAATTAAACATCTACGATTTTGCTGAATTAAGTTTTCTTTGGTAAGATGCACGCTATAAAAATTCATTGCGTTTAATAGCTTTGGTTTTGATTCTGTGAAGTCGCGTCGACTGAAAATCGAAAGTGTAAACACAAACTACACATAGACACGGCGAAAAATACCCAAAAAGCAAATTCAATGAACAGCCTACCAAAGAACTGAATTAAAAATTCTCCGAAAACAAATCTAGTTGATAAGTTACTTATATAATATATTATTCAAACCTATGAGGACATCATTGACTGCTTATTCCGGCGCATCCCAGGGACGACCATGGAACAGAAACGGAGTAAATTCACGAATCGGCGGCCAAATCCTAGACTAAAGGGCTACGGGAACAAGGATTGGGAAGCTGGAAGGCTCCCGACACAAAAAAATCAACGCATTATGATCGTGACACTTGAAGCCTAATGGACATGAGTTTAAATTTCTTACGATTCAATTAATTTCGTTCACTACCAGCTACCGACAATGCAAAGATGGCTGAGGTAAACGAAATGAACTGTTAATTCGGGCTCAAAATTTAGTGATTAGGTCAAACCAAATGGAAAATTTTCGCAAAGCACGACTCATGACTGCCAATTACTTGTTATCGTTAAAATATTACGAAAAACAACCAAACATTAATTTTCTGACATCTTCATTAGTAGGGACGACGGGGCTCTGAATACCTGTGGTCAAGGCGGGGGTCCACTCCTGCTCGCCGGTAGCGCCCCACAGGAAAGTCAGGCTCTTTGAGGGGTTTTTGGGAGCGGTGGGGACGCTGTGGTTATTTGTTTGAGAGTTTGGACGCTTTTTGCAATCTGGAAGATCAGAGTGAGTTGGACGCAGGTTAGGGGTTTCACTTACAGTCGTGCAAAGCTGACGTGGCGCTGAAGGAGTGGTTACTACCGGAGGAGATCATGCGGTCTAGCTTCGGATTGCTGCCGTCTTCGGTGGCGGGCAGGTCGGATTGGGCGGGAATTGCCTGGTAGTGGTGCTGCTGGATCAAAACCCCGGTAGGTCCTAGGCAAGAAAAAAAATTGGTTTACAGTTGTTTAGATTTGAGTTTGCTAATTTTATTTTTTACGATAACGTATACATTAAACTGCAGGTAACGCGTATGTTTTAAGTGAGTTTTTCATAATGAAATTTTGTACAAGCATAACAAAAAAGACAAAAAAGGTACCTAAAAGACAAAAAAAAACTGTTAAAAAAATAAAATGGAAAAAAACCCAAAAAAAGGCCCATTGGTTGCGACAAAAAATAATAAAAAAGTCCGACTACTAAAAGAGGAAAAAAGGCATCAAAAAGGGACCAAAAAAACGTGACAAAAAAGGCACCAAAGAATGAAAAAGAAAAGACAAAAAAGCAACAACATAAAAAAAAACAGAAAAACGGAACAAAAATTTGTTCCAAACACAATGGAAAAGAGGATTAAAAACTTGCGACAAAAAATGGACAAAAATCTGTGACAACAAAAGGGAGTAAAAAAACGACAAAAAGGCGACGAAAAAAATCTTCAGAGCAAAGCGATAAAAAAGGGACCCAAAAAAAACAAAAAAACGGGGGGGGGGGGGGCCTAAAAAACACGATTGAAAACCAATTTAAAAAAATGTATAAAATGGCGATCAAAATCTCGCCAAAAAAAGGCAACAAAAAGGGGATAAAAAAGGTTACAAAAATGGCAATAAAAAGGGACAAAGAAGAGGAGAAAGACGACGAAAAAGGGCGATTAAAAAATTGTGACTAAAAAACGGCCATAAAGCAAGGGTAAGGGTAAAGAAGACCACAAAGGCACGGGGTGAGGAACAAAAAAGCAATAAAAAGAGATCATAGACGTGATAAAAAAAAGCAGCAAAGAAAAAAACGAAAAAGACAAAAAAACAAAGAAAAAAACACTACAAAAAAAAGAAAAAAGGGGCCTTTTTGGCAAAAAATCCGCGATAAAAAAGGGATCAAAAACGTGACCAAAAAAAGGGCAACGAGAAAAAAAAATGTATAAAAAATGCTACGAAAGAGACCAATTAAATAATACGATAAAAAATGAAAAAATCTTCAAAACAAGGGGATAAAAAACGGATAAAAAAGTGACAGAAAATGCAATGAAAAAACAAAGAGAACAAAAAGCACTATTAAAAAACAACAAAACAATAATAAGGGAAAAAAGCGATAAAAGGACAATAAAAAGGGACAAAACGAGATAAAAAAAGGTTAAAAACACGATAAGGAAAGCAAAAATGTGGGAAACATAGCCGCAAATAAACAAATAATGCAACGAAAAGAGTGACAAAAAATGCAATTAAAAAAAAACAAAAATGGGTTAACATACCCCCAAAAAATAAAACAAAAAAAAGCTATAAAAGGACAAAAAGAAATAAATAAAAAAACGTAACAAAAAAAGGCAAAAAACGGAAATCCCTCGAAAAACAGCAAAAAAAGGCGATAAAAAAACGATTTAAAAAGATTCAAAAATAGCAAAAAACGAGGAAAAAAGGGGGAAAAGATAACGAAAAAAAGGCGAATAAAAATGACGGCGATAAAGAAAAGGGAGGGAGAGACAAAAAAAAGGCTACAAGGGGAAGGAAAAAGCCAAAAAAGCCATGAAAAGTAACCAAAAGCGTAATAAAAAGGCAGCAAAAAACGAAATAATGACGAACAAAAAAGGCGATGAGAAAAAAGGTTTAAAAAATATGAAATACAGGGCGATTAAATAATGCGAGATGAGGAAAGAAAAAATCTTCAAAATAAGGCAATAAAAACGGGACCAAAAAAGTGACAAAAATGCAATGAAAAAACAAAGAAGAGGACAAAAAGCCAGATTAAAAAACAACAAAACAATAAGAGGAGAAAAACCGATAAAAGGACGACAAAAAGGCTTAGAAAAGGCCCTAAAAACGGGCAAAAGTACAAATACGATAAGGAGAGCAAAAATGTAACGAAAAAAAGCAAAAAAAGGTAACGGAAAAAAAGCGAAACAAAAAAGCGATAAAAAAGAAACCAAAAACGTAGTAAAAAGGCAGCAAAAAATGAAAAAATGACGACCAAAAAAGCAACGAATAAAGACAAAAAAAGGGCGATGAGAAGAAAGGTTTAAAAAAATGCTACGAAATAAACGGCGATTAAATAATGCGAGTAGAGGGAACAAAAAAATCTTCAAAATTACGCAATAACAAAGGGACAAAAAATACAATGAAAAAACAAAGGAGAGGGCAAAAAATACGATTAAAAAAAAACAATAAAGAGGGAAAATGCGATAAAATGACGATAAAAAGGCTTAAAAAAGGCAATAGGCAACAAAATGGGCAAAAGGAGATAAAAAAAAGGGTTAAGAACACAAAAAGGAGAGCAAAAATGTGTCGAAAAAAATAACAAACAATGCAACCAAAACAAGGAAAAAAATTACGAAAACAAAACAACAAAAAAAGATCAAAAGCAGCGCAAAAAAAGTGATCAAAAACACTTTTAGAAAAAAAAAATTATGAAAAAAGGAATCAAAATCTCGCGAAAAAAAAAACAAAAAAAAGGCGGAAAAAAAAATCGATAAAAAATGCTATAAAAAGGAGCAAAAAAAGGTAACGGAAAAAAAGGGAAACAAAAAAAAGGCCATAAACGTGATAAAAAAGGCAGCAAAAACACGAAAAACGCAAAAAAATCAATGAAAAAAAATGGATAAAAAACACGACAAAAAAAAACAAAAAAAAGGGCGAAAAATTCGAGATAAAAAAGGACCAAAGCTAAGAAGAAAGAGCCAAAAAAAATACCGCAAAAAAGCCAAAAAAGGGACCAAAAATGCGACCAAAAAAAATACAATTAAAGAAAAACAAAGAAGACAAAAAACGATAAAAGGACGACAAAAAGGTTACAAAAATGGACAACGAAAACGGGCGATTAAAAAATTGTGCCACAAAACAACGACAAAGTGGGGGGGGGGACAAAAAGTGATAAGAAAAGACCATAAACATGATAAAAAAAAGGCAGCAAAAAAAAAACGAAAAACACAAAAAAAAAACAAAGAAAAAAATGCATAAAAAAACACGAAAAAAAAACAAAAAAAGGACCAAAAATCTGAAATAAAAAGGGACCAAAAACGCCACCAAAAAAAAAGGGCAACGAGAAAAAAAGGTCTAAAAAATGCTATGAAAAAAGAGCAATTAAATAATACGATAAAAAGACAAGAAAATCTTCAAAACAAAGGGATTTAAAAGGGAGCAAAAAGGGTGACTAAAAATGCAATAACAAAAAAAAAACAAAAAAGGAGAAAAATACAACAACAACGATGAAAAAAAATGGGTTAAAATACCCCCAAAAAATGCAACAAAAAGTGTGAAAAAAAGAGATAAAAGGTCAAAAATAAATTTTAAAAACCTGACAAGAGAAAAAATTTCCAAAACAAGGGGATAAAAAAAAGGGCCAAAATGAGTGACAAAAAATGCAATTTAAAAAAAAAACAAAAAAGGGGAAAAATACAACGATGAAAAATAAGAAGAAACCCCGGAAAATACAACAAAAAGACAGTAAAAAAGCGATAAAAGGGCATAAATAAATAATTAAAACGTGACGAAAAAAGGGAATAAAATGAAAAAAAAAATGGGAAAAATCGAAAAAAGCAAGAAATCCTAAAATTCAAGAAATCTAGGAATCCCAAAAATCAATTCCAAGAAATCCAAGAAACTAAAGAATGTCTAGAATTCCAATAATCCCAGGAAACCCAACAACTCCAAGAATCCTAAAAATCCTATGATTCAAAGAAATCCAAGAAATTCAAAGACCCCAAGAAATTTAAGAATTCCAAAAAATCCAAGAAATCCTAGAAATCCAATGACAATAAAAAATGTGGAGAATTCCAAGAATTCCCAGACAGCCAAGAAATCCTAAAATCAAAGAATTCCAAAAATTCTAAGAAATTCAAGAATGTCAAGAGTTCCAAAAACTCCAAAAAACCCAACAAAATCCTAAGAACCATAAAAATTCCAACATTCCCAAAATTCAAAAAAATCCGAGAAATTCAAAAAACCAAGAAAACCAGAAATTCCAAGAATTTCAAGAAATTAAAAAATCAAACACCTAAGAAATTTAAAAATACTTAACAACTAAGATATCCAAGAAATTCAAGAATGTCAAGAATTCTAAGAATCCCAAGAATTCTAAAAATCCAAAAAATTCCAAAAATCCTAAGATTCAAAAAATACGATAAATTTAAAAAATGCAAGAAATTCAAAAATCGCAACACTTCAGAAATTTAAGAATTTCAAACAACCACATATCCAAGAAATCCAAGAATCCAAGAAATCTAAGAATCCCAAAAATGAATTCCAAGAAATTCAAGAAACTCAAGAATGTCTCGAATTCCAATAATCCCAGAAAACCTGACAACTCCAAGTATTCCAAAAATCCTAGGATTCAAAGAAATCCAAGAAATTCAAAAATCCCAAGAAATTTAAGAATTCCAAAAAATCGAAGAAATCCTAGAAATCCGAAGACAATAAAAAATGTCCAGAATTCCAAGAATTCCCAGACAGCAAGAAATCCTAAAATCAAAGAATTCCAAAAATTCCAAGAAATTCAAGAATGTCAAAGAGTTCCAAAAACGCCAAGAAACCCAACAAAATTCTAAGAACCATAAAAATTCCAAGATTCCCAAAATTAAAAAAAATCCGAGACGTTAAAAAAACCAAGAAAACCAGAAATTTAAAGAATTCCAAAAAATTAAAAAATCAAACACCTAAGACATTTAAAAATACTTAACAACCAAGATATCCAAGAAATTCAAGAATGTCAAGAATTCTAAGAATCCCAAGAATTCTAAAAATTCCAAAAATCCTAAGATTCAAAAAATACGATAAATTCAACAAATCCAAGAAATTCAAGAATCGCAACACTTCAGAAATTTAAGAATTTCAAACAACCAAATAGCCAAGAAAACCAAGAATCCAAGAAATCTAAGAATCCCAAAAATGAATTCCAAGAAATTCAAGAAACTCAAGAATGCCTAGAATTCCAATAATCCCAGAAAACCCAACAACTCCAAGTATTCTAAAAATCCTGCGATTCAAAGAAATCCAAGAAATTCAAAAATCCCAAGAAATTTAAGAATTCCAAAAAATCCAAAAAATCCTAGAAATCCGAAGAGAATAAAAAATGTCCAGAATTCCAAGAATTCCTAAAATCAAAGAATTCCAAAAATTCCAAGAAATTCAAGAATGTCAATAGTTCCAAAAACGCCAAGAAACCCAACAAAATTCTAAGAACCATAAAAATTCCAAGATTCCCAAAATTAAAAAAAAATCCGAGAAATTCAAAAAACCAAGAAAACCAGAAATTCCAAGAATTCCAAGAAATTAAAAAATCAAACACCAAAGACATTTAAAAATACTTAACAACCAAGATATCCAAGAAATTCAAGAATGTCAAGAATTCTAAGAATCCCAAGAATTCTAAAAATCCCAAAAATCCTAAGATTAAAAAAAACGATAAATTCAAAAAACTCAAGAAATTCAAAAATCGCAACACTTCAGAAATTTAAGAATTTCAAACAACCAAATATCCAAGAAATCCAAGAATCCCAAAAATAAATTCCAAGAAACCCAAGAAAATCAAAAAATCAAAGAATTCCAAAATTCCAAGGTTCAAAGAAATCCAGAACATCCAAAAATTCAAGAAACTCAAGAAATTTAAGAATTACAAAAAATCCGTGAAATCCAAAAATGTCGAGAATTCAAAAAATCCAACAGTTCCAAGAATCTCAAAAATTCCAAAAATGTCAAAATTCAAGGAAATCCAGAAGGCCAATGGTTGCAAAATATACAGAAGATACGAAAGTTTTCAAGAAATCTGTGATTTCCTGGAATTTAAAAAAATTCAGAAATTATTTTACTTGAGAACAAAATGTATATTAAAAAAATTTGATGAACTTTTAAATTATGTTTTCAAGAACTAGATTCTTTTCCATTGTACTGAAGATTTTTCTTCAGAATCCTGTTAAACTATTTCGTTTAACTTTTAATTCTTTATGTTAACTGAAAAAGATTTCGTCCATTTTTCGAGGAAAAATTTTGAGATTTATTTTGTCAATAGATTCAGTATTTACAGGAATTACATATTCAGATTTTTACTAGAAATCTTCAGATTTTTTTCCAAGTAAATGTAAAATTGCGTCCATTTATCACTATCAAATTTAAAAATTTTTTGCTGCTTATTTATATCACATAGTTGAGTAACGAAAAAATGACCACCAAAAAGGCAATGAATAATGACAAAAAAAAGTGATCAAAATACCCAAAAAAGCGATAAAGAAAGGACCAAAAATGCGACCAAAAAGAAAAAATCCTGTGAAATAAAGGGCGATTAACTAATGCGAGTGACAAAAATTCAATGAAAAAATAAAGAAGAGGACAAAAATCAAAAATAAAAAACAACAAAACAACAATAAAGACACAAAATTTAAACAGATAACGTCGTCAGATCCGATACCACAACAACCAGTCCAGAAAAAAATACCTACTTTTTCATATTCTAAGGATTATAAAACGTCGAGAAAACCTAAAATTAACTCGGCATATAGTTAGTAAACATACTTCTCTACCAACCACACATGGTCAGCGGCGTACCTTTAGGAAAAATATGTGTCCACCTCCTCCTATTGGACGTCAGCTTGATCGTGACGTGCGAAGGGTCAAACGGGTTGATCAGAGCCCGGGACTCCAGCGGCGGCGAGCCCTCAGAACCTACGACCATGCGAACCGGAGGCGATAATTCTTTTTCTGCATCAACAAATTTAATACTTATTGTATATATTTTATCACGTGATACAAACCGTCTGCGTGGGGCGAAATAATGGGGCTGACGGCAGCCGGCGGGATCGCGATGGGTTCAGACCGCGCGTTGGAGTCAATCCTGTGGGGAACATCCGGATCCGACATTTTCCGTCTCTGCCCCTTGATGAGCTCGTGCGAATCGAGCAAACTCCCAGAGGTGCGTTTGTATCGTGGAAGAACGCGGTGGTGATTTACGGAACTAAAAATTTAAAACCAACATTTAACCCAGTTAAAATTACGTTAAAGAGTACCTATTTTCGTGCACTGTGTGTGCATGCGGTAGCTGAAAAATCTGCGCGTCGTAGGCGTCGTAATCGAAAAAAGAATTATGGATGTAGTCGTCTTGTGGCACCAGTTTGTTCTTCGGCGACTCCTTTTTTTCGTCGTCTGAAGGCAAATGCGGTGGGAGTTTGATGCGTGGAATAAAGTTCGAATAAGCGATTTTTTTATTGGTTGAATAAAACGACAAATTAATCCAATGGGGCATGGAGTAGTCGTCGGGCACGTTCAAGTGGGTGTCTTTATTATGAAACTAAAACAATACCGTGTGTTGTAAAAACCACACCACCACGACCATTAAAAAAAAACATACTTTTAATAGTGGAACTGCGTGAAGTGGTTGCTCCCCCACACAAACCAAATCGCTACCGACCCCATTGTCGATAATTCGTTGTTTCGTTATATTCGTCAACTCTCTATCGACCTCGAAAACCCCCACCCCTGGAGTCACAACCACGCTAAGTTGTCCCGTTCGGTCGAAACTCCGGTCCAAATAGTGTTTTTCGAAAACTACAAAAACGCGAATTATGAATGAAATTTTGTACTTAGTCGTGTACCGTTCAGCGACATGTTTAAAACTTCCAAAAAATTCCCCTGTGCTGCCGTACTATTAGTAGCCGCCGGGATATCAATCCCAGGCCTTTTGTGATACTCCAACACGATTTTCAAATATTCGGAGAAAATCCGTCTTAACTGTACCAAAATCCCGCTCCAGTCGTCATAGCGCTCGTTTTGCACCGCCACCCTGTAAAAATCTTCGTAATAGCGCCCTCTGTAGTCCTTCTGGAGACACTCGCGCATGTGCAATGGAAACACCTCTAAACTACTCGCTTCATAGAACGTGCGCGAAAACAACACAATTGTTACTTCATGATTACTCCCATTTTTTTTCCACTTCATGAATAAGTCCGCTAAGAACCCATTGACAGCCTTTTCGAAATAAAGATCCCCGTAGATGTCGAAATCCCACATTTCTGACGACATTTGCAGGAATAAATAGACCATGGATGTTGACGAGCGAAAAACTACTTTAGTGTCTTCCGTGATGACCCCGCAAGCCACTCTATCACCTAGCGACCACATTTCGTACACTTGACACCGAACGGCGCCCCCACAAAACTCGATGTTCTTTTTTATGTACACACAAGTATTGATGAGACTATTTTTGAGCCGCCACATCTCAGACCTCCCCATGTACTGGTCTTTAAAGGTAAGCTCGATTGAGTCGAGAGCCACGTCAGGGGGGTCCACGATGCGGATTATCACGTTCTTGTAGGGCTGCAAGCCAAAGGTTTGTGCGATGCTTTGCTCTACACTGATTGTATCTGACAATTTCAACAATTTAGTTTTAATTGTACATTAAACTGCACTAGGTTTACCTTTTTGAAGCGCAATTTGTTGCGTTGAATCATCAGGAAATGCTTTCACTTGTAACAACAATCGCGGATATTCTTCCTCCGGCTCGCTTTTTTTCTTCGAGCGCGGATTATCATCTTCAGGCGGGGGGTGGTATATTTCGACCACGTCCCCCAAGCTAGCCCCCGGATAATCCTTCGAGTTTATAATCAAGTCTTCAGCTGAAAGTGAAACTCAAGAGCCACTGGAGCCAAAAAGGTGTTAAGACATACCACTGAAATTCTTCTGGTGGACGATTAGCCGGAAGGACTTCATGGTTACGTCCTCTAAAGCACTTTGTTTTTAAAAACAAGCATCTATTTGTTTGGACTTCGCATTACGGCTGTGTACGTAAACAATTATGTTGTCAACAAGAATAACACTGTTGTAGCTTCCATTAATGAGACGAGTGGAAATTATGAAGGTTGAGATAACATTCTGGTGATAGCAACAATAAATAACGCAATAAAAAAACAGAATTAATAAATCTTTTGTTCGGGATTTCACATTTCACTGCGATTTGAGGTTATGTTACACTTGATGCGTCAGGAATACCAACGTTGACACAAAAAATTACCAAAAAATATAACCTCAATACGTTTAAAATTTGGCGAATTTCGAACAAAAAGTGAAAATGAACGAGATTTTGTGAGTGTTGTACTTTTAAATGTTTAGAATTGGTGTCAAAAGCCACTAGGTAAGCACTTGTTACTAATATTGATCAAACTTTGTAATTTTTCGATTTTCGACATTCCGTCGTTTCCATTCTTGGACTTTGCGATTTTTCAGTTTTTCGATTTGAAATGTTCTTTCGTGTTTTGGATTTTGCCTTTTTACTTTCGATTTTTGAATTTATTGATTCGTCAATTTTTCGCTTTTTTAATTTCTCGTCTTTTCGATTTTCGATATTTTCCAAATTTTTTGAAATTTCAATTTTCTGTTTTTTCGATTTCTCGATTTTTTGACTTTTGAATTTTTCAATTTCTCGGTTTTTCAGTTTTTCGATTTCTTGATTTGTTGGTTTTTCGAATTTTCGATTTATAGGTTTTTCGCCTCTTCGATTTCATTCATTTTTCGATTCTCGATTTTCAATTTTCCGAATTTTCGATATTTTGATTTTTGTGGAATTTCGATTTCTCGACTTTCGATTTTTTGATTTGTTGATGGTGGATTTTCGAATTTAAAATATTCTTATTTTTCGATTTCTGGATTTTTCAGTGTTTCGAGTTTTTGGATTTTTGAATTTCTAGAACTTTCGATTTCTCGGTTTTTCGAATTTTCGAATTTTGGATTTCTCAATTTCTCGATCTTTCGAATTTTTGTTTTCTCAATTATTCATTTTTCTCCATTTTTTGACTTCTCGATGTTTCGAATTTCGATTTTTGGAATTCAGATTTTCCAAATTCTCAATTTCTCGATTTCCCAATTTGACAGTGTTCCATTTTTTGATTCTCGATTCCTCGATTTTTTATATTTTCAATTCTCCGGTTTTTCAAATTCTGAATTTCTCGATTTCTCAATTTCCACATTTTGTGATTCTCGATTTTTCGATACCTCGATTTTTGGTTTTTCAAGTTCTCAATTATGTATTTGTCGGTGTTTCGATTTTTCGAATCCTAGATTTCTCAATTTCTCGATTTTTTTTAATTCTCAAATTTTCGATTTTTCAATTGTTCGAGTTTTAGAATTTTGATTTTTCGAATTCTTGTTTTCTGAATGTCTAGATTTCCCAACTTCTAATTTCTCCATTTTTTTGATTTTCGATTTTCAATTTCTCAATTTTTCGATTCTTGATTTTCAATTTTTCAATTCTCGACTTTCAATTTTCCGAATTTTCCATGTTGTGATCTTTATATTTTTCGAATTCTCAATTTTTCATTTTTTCATTTTCCGATTTTTCGAATTCTGAATTTCCGGATTTCTCAATTTTCCCATGTTTTTTTCATTTGCGATTTCTCGATTTTTCAATTTTTAGATTTTGTAATTTCTCGATTTTCAATTTTACTAAATTTCGATTTTGTGTTTTTTCAACTTCTCGATTTTTTGAATTTCTCAGTTCTCGATATTCCGATTTTTCGAAATTCAATGTTTCGAATTCTCAAATTTTTTGATTTTTCGAATTTTTAGTTGATTTATTATTGTTCCATTTATTGAATTCTCAATTTTTTTTTCGGTTTTTCCAATTCGCAATGAATGAATTTTCGATTTCTCGGTTTTTCGAATTTTCGATTTTAACTCTAAATTTTTCAATGTTTTGAGTTTCGATTTGTGAATTAAGCGATTTTTCGAATTTTCAGTTTTTACATTTTTAAATTCGAACTTTCAATTTGTCGGTTTTTCGACTTTTCGATTTCTCAAATTTTCGATTTTTTAATCTTTTGAGTTTTATATTTCTCAATTTCTCGATTTCGCCTTTTTTTGATTCTCAATTTTCGGTTTTTCCGTTATCAATTTTTAGATTTTTAGATTTTTTTCCTTTTTCGGAGTTTTCTGATTTTCAATTGTTCAATTTTCGATTTCGTTTTTTCGAATTTAAAATATGTATTTTAATTTTTCAATTTGTCTATTTCTCGATTTTTCAATTTTTCTATTTCTCGATTTTTCAGTGTTTTGAGTTTCGATTTCTGAATTTAGCGACTTTTCGAATTTTCAGTTTTCAGATTTTTGAATTTGTAGAATTTTCGATTTATCTGTTTTTCGAATTCATTCATTTTTTGATTCTCAATTTTTCGATTGTTCGATTTTTCGAATTCCCGATTTTCGATTTCCAGTTTTCTTGTTTTTCGAACTTCTTAATTTCTCCATCTTTTGATTCTCGATTTTTAGATTTCTCAATTTTTAGTTTTCTATCGATTTTTCAATTCTTCGATTTTTCGAATTCTCAATTTCCTCATTTTTTGATTCTTGATTTTTCGATATCTCGATTTTCGATTTTTCAAGTTCTCACTTTTGTATTTTTCCGTATTTCGATCAGTCTGTTTTTAATTTTTGTGTTTTCGATTTTTCAATTTTTTTATTGTTCGATTTTTCGAATTCTCGATTTTCGGTTTCTCGAATTTCCAACTTCTTAATTTCTCCATCTTTTGATTCTCAATTTTTCGATTTCTCAATTTTTGGTTTTCTATTTTTGAATTCTACGATTTTTCGAATTCTCAATTTCTCGATTTTTCAATTTCCTCATTTTTTGATTCTCGATTTTTCGATATCTCGATTTTCGATTTTTCAAGTTCTCAATTTTATATTTTTCGGTGTTTCGATTTGTCTGTTTTTGATTTTTATATTTTCGATTTCTCAATTTTTCTATTGTTCGATTTTTAGAATTCTGTATTTTCGACTTCTCAAATTCTCAATTTTCAATTTCTCGATTTTCCAAGTTCTTAATTTCTCCATCTTTTGATTTTCGATTTTCCGATTTAGCGATTTTCGACTTTTAGACTTCTCAGATTTTCGATTTTTCGAATTTGGAATTTTTCGACTTTCCAATTTCCAATTTCTAGATTTCTCAGTTCTCAATTTCTCAAATTTTTAACTTATCGATTTTTTGAACTTCGATTTTTCGAATTCTCAGTTTTCGATGTTCCGATTTTTCGAAATTCAATGTTTCGAATCTTGAAATATTTTGATTTTTCGAATTCTCAATTTTTCTTTTTTTCGGTGTTTCGATTTTTCGATTGTCAATTTCTCAATTTTTCCATTCTCGATTTTGGGTTTTTCGAATTTCCAATTTCTCGATTTTTGAATATCCCCATTTTTTGATTTTCGATTTTTCAAGTACTAAATTTTGTATTTTTCGGTGTTTCGATTTCCCAATTTTCGAATTCTCAATTTTCCTTTTTTTGATTCTTCGCTTTTTCGAATTCTGGTTTTCCCAAATTCTCGACTTCCCAACTTCTCATATCTACATTTTATGGTTCTCGATTTTTCATTTTTTCGATGTTTTAATTTTTCGCTTTTCAATTTGTCAGTTTTTCGATTCTCGATTTTCAATTTTCCGAATTTTTGACATTTCCCCATTTTTTGATTTTCGTTTTCTCTATTTTCAATTTTTCTTAATTTCAGTTTTGTGTTTTTTCAATTTCTCAACATTTTAATTTCTGATTTCTCGATTTTCTGATTTCTGAATTTTACAACCTTTCGATTTTCCGATTTTCGAATTTGTTGAGCTTTCGATGCTTCGATTTCTCGATTTTTCAATTTTCCTATTTTCGATTTTTGTATTTTCGATTTCTCAATTTTTCGATTTTTCGAATTCTGGATTTTCGATTTCTGGAATTCTCAATTTTTCGATTTCTCAATTTTCGACTTTTAGAATTCTCTATTTTTCGATTTTTCGAATTTGGAATTTTTCGACTTTTCAATTTCCAATTTCTAGATTTCCGAAGTTCTCAATTTCTCAAATTTTTAACTTCTAGATTTTTGAATTTCGATTTTTCGAATTCTCAGTTCTCGATGTTCCGATTTTTCGAAATTTAATGTTTCGAATCCTGAAATTTTTTGATTTTTCGAATTCTCAATTTTTCTTTTTTTTTCGGTGTTTCGATTTTTCGAACTTTCATTTTTCTAATTCTCCTTTTCTCAATTTCTCGATTTTTGAATGTCCCCATTATTTGATTTTCGATTTTTCAAGTTCTAAATTTTGTATTTTTCGGTGTTTCGATTTCCTAATTTTCGAATTCTCAATTTTCCTTTTTTTGATTGTTCGCTTTTCCAAATTCTCGATTTTCCAACTTCTCAATTTTTCCATTCTCGATTTTTGGTTTTTCGAATTTTCAATTTCTCGATTTTTAAATATGTATCACCATTTTTTGATTTTCGATTTTTCAAGTTCTAAATTTTGCATTTTTCGTTTTTGTTTCGATTTCCCAATTTTTCCAATTCTCAATTTTCCTTTTTTTGTTCGCTTTTCCGAATTCTGGTTTTCCCAAATTCTCGATTTCCCAACTTCTCATATCTACATTTTATGGTTCTCGATTTTTCGTTTTTCCGGTGTTTCAATTATTCGCTTTTCAATTTCTCAGTTTTCCGATTCCCGGTTTTCAATTTTCTGAATTTTCAATTTTTGATTTTTATAGTTTTTAAATTCTCAGTTTTTCGATTTTTATCGACTTCTTAATTCTTCAATTTTTCCATTATTCGATTTTTCCATTTTTCGATTTTTTCGAACTCTCAATTTTTCGATTTCTCGGTTTTTCAATTTATCGATTTTCAATTTCTATATTTAGCGACTTTTCAAATTTTCAGTTTTTAGATTTTCGAATTTCCCGATTTTCAATTTGTCGATTTCTTGGTTTCTCGAGCTTTCGATTCTTGGATGTCTCCATTTTTTGATTCTCAATTTTCGAATTCTGGATTTTCCATTTTTTCGATTTTCGATTTCTCAGTGACACCAACGTTAGCACAAAAAATTACAAAAACATAACCTAAACGAGATTCGAAATTCAGCGAATTTTTAACAAAAAATGCAAACTAGTGCTATAAAATGTGATTTTGTAAGCCTTGTACCATGGAGGAAGGAATATATTCCTTCCTCCATGCCTTG